ATAGTTAGCTATTCCTCTTATAAAGGGGCGGTAATCCTATTACCGCTATATAGCGTACGCTTATAAAGCTTTTAGAAATATAGCGTTTACTTATAGCCCTATACTACCTTTATTAACTAGCTTATATACTCGCCGTAGTTAGTAGGTATAATTATAGGGATAAGTAGCTTTTATAGGGCTAGCGTAATCGAGTTCTATAACTATATAAGCTTCGCGCTATCTTCTTATATCGTAGTTCCTACTACTTATAAGAGCGTCTCTTTAAAGTTAAGGAGGAATTTACTAAAGGTTTACCTATCCCTTTACTTAAGGGTCTATAGCCTATCTTATACCTTCTCCCGCTCTTATATATTGCCGAACGTATATATAAGGTATTAGAAGAAGTCCTATAGGTCGCGTCTGCCTCTAGGGCCGCCCTTATCCTAGAATCTAGAGATCCGCTATATCTAGGGCTCCGGTAGTATATAAAGGAGCGAATACTACGCTATATTATAATAGCCGTTTAGGCCCTATTTCTCGTTTATTATAAACTTCGTTTATAGCTAGCTAAGGAAGAAGTAAAAGGACTTAGGCTTACTATCCTAAGTCGGCTAAGGAAGCAGCTTCTATATCGGTAGTACCGCCGCCGTAACCGGTATTACTAAGGTTATAGGGGTTAACGCTAGTCTTATAGACGGCTCCCTTAGTATAGCGAGAACCTTATTTTTCTCGCTAGCTATCGCGCTTTTAATCGCTTCTAGGATAGCTATAATACTTCCTATCCGCTTAAGGGGTAGTAGGGTGCTCCTTTAAGGAAGCGGCACCCTTTCTAGGGAGATATCTATTAGATCTATTAGTTAATAGCTTATACTATTATAGAGTAGGTAGAGGCGTATATATAGGTACTATCTATAGGATAATATTAATAAGCTATATAGAGCTCTTTTATACGTAGCTAGCCCGCCCCTATACTTATAAGATCTAGCCCTTTATATATAACTATACGGCTTAAGCCGCGGCCTAAGCCTATTACCTATAATAGTTAAAGACTCTTATAATTACGCTTACCTAACTATAGACTTATAGGGGTAGCGGAGATAGAGGCGGGGGCTAAGGGGCCGGGCGTTATAAGTAGCGGCGGGGACGGCGTCGTTACCTTAAGGGGCGACGTAAGAGCGAATAGCGTAGTAGAGGCGGCGGCGGCGGCGGTAGGAGCGGTAGTAGCGGCGCGGGTAGGAGCGGCGGTAGCGGCGGAGTCGTCGTCGGCCGCGGCTAGCACGGCGTCGACGAATAACTCCGCACGCTCTAAGAAGGAGGAGGTAAAAGAGGGAGAGGCAGATATATCTATCGCGGAAGTTAGTACGACGGAATATAGCCTCCTACTCTATAAGGCGCGGAACTTATTAGTTAGAGTTATTATTATTATTAAGGCTATTATTACTACTACTACTACTACTATAAGTATATATTAATAGAGCGGCCTATATAGCTAAGAACGGACTAACGCCTTAGGTAAAGTAGAACTTACTTATTAATACTACTATTACGGTTAAAGAAGGGAGAGAAGGAAGGGAAGGGGGAAGGGGGGGATACCGCTTTATATACCTCTTAGTAGAGGATACTACCTAAGGTAAAGGGGACGGGTAACCTAAGGCTTATATAGGTCCGGACTAGCCGCCGGCTACCTAGGGGCGTATATAATAGGTTACGCCCTTATTTAAATAGCTAGCTAGCCGATAAGTATAGAGCTAGGTCTTAGCTACCTAGGCTAACGGGCGTAGGGATAATAGGGCTAGTAGGGCCGGCCCTATTAATAAGAAAGGGTAGGGAAGAGCCCGCGGTATAGGCCTAATTATATAGGAGCCGTTAATAGGGCAGCGCTACGCCGCGCTCGAGGGAGGGTATTATATAAGAGTTTTTAACTATTATAGGTAATAGGCTTAGGCCGCGGCCTAAGCTATATAGTTACGTATAGAGGGCCGGATCCCGTAAGTATAAGGGCGGGCTAGCCGCGTATAAAAGAGCTCTATATAGCTTATTAATATTATCTTATAAACGGTACCTATATATATACCTCTGCTTACTCTATAATACTAGCTAGTTAAGGAAGAGAAACTAATACTAAGATTTAGTACTATTAATTTCTTAGATTATTATTATACGTACCTTATTATTAAGGCTAAGATCCTTCTATATATTATATACCCCTTTTAATCTCTCGAAGATAAATAGCCGGCGAACGCCGAGGTCCTAGGAAGTAGTACTCTTTAAGGCTATATATTAAACCGGTATATAGGAATAAAGTAAACGGGAGACTTAGATATCGGAATCTATACGTAGTAAGTTATAGATAGTCGTCTTAAATAAGCTTCCGGAGCTTAGTCCTCTACTAGGGCGCCTTTAATATCGGCTATATTAAGGTTACTATAAGCTAAGCGTATAACTATATCCGGCCGGTCTATTTAAGGTTTTAGTATAAAAATCCTTAGTAAGAGTTAGACTTAATTCGTACTAGGCTATAAGATAATATACTTACGTAGTTATTTAAGCCTTTAGAAATAATAGGGATGTCCGTTACCTATATATTTAGACTCTTTAATCTCTCGGATTAGGAGTCTAACGTCCTAGTTACGTCGAAGGGGCTCTTACTATCTCGAACTAGATCTAAAAGGTACTTGCCGTTATATAAGCTGCCGTTAGGCATTAAATGCTACTTATCCTCTTAAGGCATTATAACTATTTCGATAATATCGATAGGTATAATACGTAAAGTAAAGGAGAGAGCTGCTAGTCTTTGAGGGGTCTCGTAAATAATAAGGGCAGTAAAGATTTTATACGATTCGGCTATATAAGGGATTTACCGGTAATCTACCCGGTCTTATAATCGCATAGGGTCTAAGTAAGTGTTCCCTTATTAAATAAGGGCTATAGAATTACCCTATACACCGTAATACTAGCTCGTTTAAGGGGCATATAGAGGCGTGTGACTAATAAGGGCCTTTAAGCTAAGAACGCCGGTTATATATATATAACCCCCTTCTACCTCGATTAGGGGTCTAGGCTATGCTTTCCTTACGTACCTTTATAAAGGGGCATTATACGTAATATACTATAGGAGCCTAAATAAAGAAAACGCTAGCTATATATCGCACGTAAGCTCTATAGAATATAAATAGTAGCTTTTATCTAGAAGAGCCCTAGAGTATATATAGTAAGGGGTCTAAGAACCTAGGTTTAGAGTTAGCAGCGAGAAACGCTATATAAAGGGCTCCTTATAGACAGTGTTTATCTCTAAGAAGGGGGAAATTTTTAGTTTCCGGCGACGCGTCGCCTAGATTATAAGTAAAGCTATTTATACAACGCCCTTTTACTATTAGTATAATAGATCTATTTTTTCGGTACGTACACCCGCTAGCCCACCCCGCCTAAAGTACCGCGCCCGGCCTAGCAAGTATCCGTATCTTTTAAATGCCCTCGTCCACACATATATACATTGCGCCCACCTACACCTACCTACTTATCTATACACATAAATTTAAAGCTATCCGGCAGCGGCGGCGGCAGCGGCGGCAGCTGCAGCCGGGTTAATTAGTGGGCTATTGCAATATAAACTTGAGGCTAGAAATGCGTTATTTGAGCGAATTAAGCGGACGCGTTGTGCGGCCGCAGCTGCGCCGGCGGAAGGGGCGCAAAGTGTGTATGTATATATGGACGAGGGCATTTAGAAGGTACGGGTACTTGCTAGGGCGGACGCGGTATAAGTGGTGCGGGGGCCTGGCGCGGGTACGTACCGAAAAAATGGATCTGTTATACTAATAGTAAAAGGGCGTTGTATAAATAGCTTTACTCTAGATTATAGGGCAACGAAGGAAACTTTATCGCCTATTCGGGAGTTTATTCTAAAATAATAGGCTAAGCCGTAGTTTCCTTTCTACCTCGGGCCTAGCGATGATAGCTGGGCCGCCTCGGAGGAGACCTCGCTTAGTCAGGCAGTTAAAGACTATAATAAGATAGTGCGGAAGAACCGCGATATAGCGTATCGCGCAGGGTTAGGGCCTAGGATTTCCCTAACGACCTATGTTAGCCGGCTAAAGTAAGAACCCGATCATCGAGCGAAGAATAATAATAAAATCAGTAACGGCATATTCGTACATTTAATAGAGGAATGCTAGAGGCATGGCACCCCTGGTCAACGCCCGCTCTCGCCGAGTCTAAGAGCCACACGACATCTGGAGGGCTCGGGGTCCAAGACTGTGTCTATAACCCAAGGACTGTACATAGCCAGGAAGAAAGCAGACACATGCTGCCGTCTTCCTGAACTCAGTATATAATGGGCAAGGCAATCGTTGATGTGTGCTGCTCTCCACTCTGGGCCACGAGTCCGAGTTGGTCGCGTCACGAGCGGGAACAGAGGCCGAGATTTCAACGCATTTGCCCTGCCAGCGACGTTGGATCAGCAGCAATGCATTGGATGTACTTCGTACTTCCCCCTTGGCAATCTCGAAACATGGACGCGCCTAAGCGTTGAATTCGACGATGACATCGACGATGACATCGACGACCAAGTTTCTTTATTTAGGCTTAAGAAGGCGGTACTTAAAAGGGACCTGGGTACCGGGGGAAGCGACTGGTATTGACATGCTATTTCCAACAAAGTGCCGTCATAATAATCGATTCACGATGAACGTTCGGGTCCCAGATGATCGCCAACTATATATTACCCCACATGTCGTCATCTGTACACACAACGTATGATTCCATGACGTGAAGACAGTACACACGTCAGCGGTACATAAAAGAACCTCGGTTTAAATAGCAGGCAGGTCGTGGATTGAACCCCTGATGACGACCATTATTGTTCTAAATAAATCATCGCCACGTCTATACTCCAACTTATAGAGCATATTTCATGTATAAAACAAACTTAAAATTTCAACGACAAGCTATCCAGCACATCGGACCAACAACACCGACTCCACCGTTTCGCAAGCATTGGCAAAACCTCCGCAAACCCACGCACCATGGCTTCCTCTGCCCCCGGCGAATTATTTGAGCCGCGCCAGACCTCGTTAACATCCGACTACAAACCCGACCCGTCCCGATCCCTCAAGCTTTCACCACAACGTCAAGCCTTGGTCGACGACATCATCGCTCTGTACTCGTGCCAGCCCACTATCGAGCGTGTTAAGCGTTACACCCCTGATTGCGTGTACGATGACCAATTCGGCTATGCCAATGACCGCTACAAGACGGCGGGACAGTGGTTCGCTTTGCCCAAGTTGTTCAAGGCCAGCAAAAATATGGGCTACGAAATTACCAAGGATGGCAAGGATCTGATCCAGTTTAAAAACGAGCAAGAGTGGACGTTTCGCCTCATCCCCAAATCGGCCACCCTTAACACTCTCGTGTCGTTGAGCCTTGACCCTGCGACCATAGACAAGGATTTTATCCAGGTCAAGTACCACAAGGAACAAGCAAACGAGAAGGATTACAGCCACGAAGGGTTGGGCTTTAATTTCAAGAAGTGGCAAGCGGACCACGTAGCGGAGAACATAGATGCGGAGGAGGTAAACTACTTCAAGGACGACAAAACTGCTGCGAAACTCGAGATTAAATAAGCGTGACAATAAAGCTAGTTGCGCTCGAGAATGAGCTGTGGAAAAATGTAAAGTTTCACTCTTAGTAGAAGCTAAAGAGGCCCATATAGAAGTGAGATGATGTCTTTTCGGCTCACTCTACTCAGGCGGGTGAGCAAGTGCCGGCTAAGCAATGGCACTCCCCGAACTCTCTTAGGGAAAACGTTGAATCTCATAGCGGCCCCACGGGCACTGGATGAGGAGATGGAAACCAATGACCCTTTATTTGGGTACGTCGAGCTCTCTCAAAGACTCTACTAGCCTAATCTTTACCCAGTTCCTGATCTCGTTCTGTGGCAACAGCAATCACGTTAAGTATTCCTAATACATTAACCCTTGCCTCTCTATGGATAGCGGCTCGTCGCCTCGGAAGTACAATCATCTATCAACTTATAAGAATCATCCCCTTTACATAAAGCATGGCTGGATTTTATAAGTCTTATCTTAAGGATATCTTTTAGCAAGAAGGGCTATAAGAGGAGTTAAAACGAGGTATAAAGAGCTGAGAAGTGGTAGTAGGAAGAAGAGGTGACAAGAGTTTCCAGTAGAAGTAGCGAAAGATAAGATGGAAATGCCGGTAACAGCTGGAAAAGAGGGGGAAAAGCTTAAGTCTTCCGTCAGACAGCAATGGCATGACTAGAGTCTTCCTCACGAAGTAACATCTCTACACAATCAGTAACATCACGCTGGCCGTTCACTTTTTTCCCATTTCCGAAGTACGCTCTTGTCGACCGCATCGCGCGATGGATTCTTGTGCAGGAGCGATATCCTTGAGCTAAGAATGGAGCATTCCGGTTTGTCGACTCGATTATTGGGTTTTATCTCCCGGCAAACATTTCCCACGAGTTGCATCCGAGGATGAAAGGTCCCTTCTTGCTCTATTGTCTTCGTCTCCCGCAGCACTACTGGCAAAGGAGTCTTCCGAGCCGCATAATGACTCTTGCAAGCCGAGGCTGCGATCAAGCTGATCGAGGACATTGGCGGCAGCCGTCTCGACGGTATTCAGAGAAGCGAGCTGCTTGGTATCTTCGTCATAGCCAATGCAGGCCACAGCATCCTCGCGGCGTGTTTTCCTGAGTCTGTCGAGGCTCAGGGCCTTGGGCGACTTGGCACCATTTTTCTTGTTTCCCGGTTGCAAAAGATTAAGACGTAAGCGTAGGAACGTAGGGCGGGAGGCCAAAGACCATTCTGCTTGCACGGACACCTTTGCGGCCAAGCAACTAAATGCCTGGGTCGATGCTGGACTCGGTCCCGGCAGCGTCCTTTTTGGTTGGGAAGAGGGCAGCGTTGAGCCGCAGCGTGGTTCCAGGTCGAGGACGGGTGTAAGATCAGCGTAGGAGAGGCGACTGTGCCACCAAGGGCTGACCGAGGTTGCCAGGGTAGGAGGAAGTGGCAGCCGCCATGCGTCTCCTCGAGCTCGTCGAGCTTCTGCCCAAGGGCCTTCATGAGCTCTGCATGGTACTTGATTTTTTTTGGTCTACTACGGGGAACGCCCAGTCCATGGGGATGCCGTTGAAGCCGCCGTCCAGCATAAGTTGAAAAGCCGTCTCGGCAAATCGCTTGAGACGGAGGCGAGCCACGTCTTCTCCTCTCCCTTGGCCACCGTCCGATGGACAACACAGCCTCGGCATGATGGTCGGCCTTCTTGAAACGGGATAGCTTCCCCAACTTGCCACCTACCTCGTCGACCGTGGTCCGAGTCAGAAGTAGGTCGGAAGGAGACCCACGGGGCCAGGAGTAAGTCCCGCTGCGTTTCGTACACTAGGATCTCCGCGCATAATGATTCAGGAGCCCCTGACAGATTGGGGACATGGCTAGTGCCCTGGTCCCAGTAAGTAACCCAAAAAAAATTGAGGATTCGCCGATGGGAAGCCTAGTCGCGATGAGACAGCCCGCGCAGGACAGTCCATCGGCCTGTGCATTGTGCGGGCGACCGAGCGGTGCCGGCTTGTATGAATCAAGGAATTGGCGAAGAAGAATGATGATCGCCTCGTCAGCTACCAAGTGCATTTCAAATACGCATGGTACAGCGTCTGGTGAAGAGTCACAGTCCTGCAAGTCCATGTTGGACCATTGACGTGTCTGCGTGCCTGGGCTCGTCAGGACTTGCAAATCAGCGTGCAGGGTTTGTCATTTAACGAATGAATAGTTACGAATCAGCCGATTTGACCGTTGCCCTCGCGTTAATAGTCGTCTGGCTCTGGCTGTGACCCTGTTAAAGAGCTTTCGTGCGGACAAGTAGAGACATGTCAGCATTCAAAGAAATAACTATGCGTCAACACTTCGTACGTATTGATACACGCATCGGCAAAGAGTCGGCTGTTGGGCCGGCGCAAAGAAATATGCCGGCCAGCCCGTCCTTGTAGTATTAAAGGGTTATCCGTTTCGCTTGTCAACAGCCCTGTCGCCCCTATTCTCTCGCATGGCGTTTCAACGGGGCAGTAGCACGGGGATCACGTAAGTAGAACCGGAAAAGGGCTCGCGGAGTGTATTGATTGATGAAGCCGGTGACGGTGTCTATTTGTAGTGGCCCCCTTTCCCTTCACTCTAGGTTCTTCGCGCTTCTTCGCCAACAGGAGCTACATTTAAGTACATGTGGTCTTGTGACCCTACAACCTGTAGCACTAACAGCTGGCACAATCTACTTGGTTACTTCTCGATTTGCCATTCCTCATAATTATCAAGGAATACTGAACATTCAATCTTGAAACAGACTGACCGTAGGGCTGCCCCTTTTGGCTAGACGGTCTCTCACCCTGGCGAGGGATCATAGCCGGGGTAGTGGGAGCGCGGGGGCTGTGCAAGCAACATTGAATACCTCGTCGAGGCATCGCCTATAATGGAGGCAATAGGAACAGCCGGTGGTGGATAATAGAGGTCCCTATGGTACTTCTATATTGCCCATACTTCTATTGTCTCTACCCATTATTGCCTCTTCTTTGGTGCTATTTGCTGCCTCTATCGCCTCTGTTGTATAAGGCCACCTCTGCATACGCTCACACCGGCAGTCCTTCTTTCTTAGCAAGCCCGCCTCGATCAATCAGATTGGCGAATGCCGTCTCCGTGGAGTCAGAAGGCGCTGCTGCTTGCTCGTTATTACCCATTATAGTACCTAGCAGGACATGTGGGTAGCCGAGGCAGGGGTTTTAGCCAAACATTCATCCCGTCATCCAGTGGTTAGTTCCGGAAAACTTCTCGAGCAGGCATCATGACTTACCGGCATAATGGGATGGATGTTTAACTCTCTATGCTGGCCAGGCAGCCATGACGAATTTGGCTCTACCACTAGAATGTTAGTATCTTGGCATGTTTCATGACTTGGTACACTTCGATTGACTAGATCTGTGCATCCTGTTGCCCAGGGCTGACTTAATAGTGAATGAAAATGGACCCTCGACATTATGCTCTGAGGCACTGCTCCGAGGTGGATGGTTGATGTTATCTGATTTTTTTGGTCATGATCGCCATCTGGGCCCTGAGCCTTGAGACTAGCAGATTATGCGTCGAGTCATAAATCGCGGTCAATGGTTGATAGTAGACAGTCAGACGTAATTGGAGGACGTCGTAGTACGTGTGTTGGACCAGAGGAGCCGCAACAAGTCCACTCCATCGGAGTCGGGGAGTTTGAGAGCCTGATTACTTCTTGTACATATAAGAGATCAATCTTCTCTTTCATTCTTCAATCAGCCTCATCGCAGCACACACGGTACCGGGGGTCACCCACCGTAGACGCACTCGTTCTTCAACACAAGACTATACACTCATTTCCAACACAAGAAAAAACACTCGTTAACAAGCCCAAAGATGCGCTGGGCCACACTCTTTGTCTCTACAGCCCCTTTATGGCTTTCATGGCTAGGGTCCGGCAATGCCAGTGCCTTACCAAAGTCTACTCTTGCCCGTCGACAACCTGGTCCGTCTGGGGAGTTTGTCTACCGTGGAGACGGAAGGTCCCCCCGGGAAGTCAGGGCAACGGACGGATTCCAGCCTCAAGGCCAAGGCTGGGAAAATCAGGAATCCTCGTACAATTTGAGTCGCCATTATGAGGCAGGTCCGGGTGGCTGCGGGTTACCTGACTCCGACGAGCCGGGTTTCGTCTTTCAAACTGCATATGTATCACTGGCACGACAAAGGTCAACGTCGGAAACATACGGCAGTTGGCTTTATGAGATTCGCGCTACACCAAATATCCTCGATGCCGGTTACGCAGAGAGTGAAGTTATGGCGTTGGGGGGTGTTCATTGGAGGCAGATACGGAGATACACACGGATGAGAAACACAGGGGACGACAGAGTTGATGAATCCGCTTGGATCAACAATCCGGACTACGATGTTGAATTATACGAACGGTCTGAGCATGCCGCCCGCTGCCTCGTCAACGACGAATATCCTTCGATATTTGAAAATGGGATACCTAGTGAATCCGACAGCGACAGCGGTTCCGACAGCGACAGCGATTCCGAAGAAGACAATGGGGCCAGCAAGCCGGCTTATGGACGCGCATATGCAGCGGCGGATCGGTTTATGGACTCGACTGAAGGTATATTTGAACTTTACGGCGCTTTCCCGCCTGAATTCAGGCCACCCCAACCTAGGGACGATATTCCCGGACCAGATCATCCAGTGCCCGAGGACAATGCTATAGATCCAGTACCGCCCGCAAATAATGTGGCCGAGCAGGGTAAGAGGCTCCCCTTCCCACGGAGACATCGGTCCGCATGCAGCACTCGTGCTAACAATCCCCAATGAAGTCGCGCGAGATCTGCAACACTATATAGATCTGGGCGAGGAAGAACTGGACCGAATGTTCCCCGAGGCCGACCAGCTGATGCGAGAAATCCTTGGCGAACTTAACCAGGGGGCTTGTCCCTCTTGGACCGATCAGTTCGGCAAGTCGAAGAGGTCGGACCTGGGAGTCGGACTGAGAACCCGCGACAAGGGTATAAGCACCCTGACCCTGCCGGTGGAAAGCGTACTGAGACTGACGGTTTATAGGAAAACCAGGGGGCAACAATTGTTGCAAGATTCTCGCCAAAGTGAAAAGCAAGATGCGCAAGACTCCCCGAAAGTCAAAGAAACCCCCGAAGAACCAGGGACAGAAACCCCAAATGGCGCAGGACCAAGGACAGAAAAAGCCCCCAGCGCCTGCCAATATTGTCTTCTACGGCGACTACCTATGGCCGGAGGAGGCCGAGAAACTACGTGGATTCCTTCCTGCGGACACGACGCCGCCTGGTCCGACGTATGACGTTGAACCGTCAGATCCGGCTGCCGCGCCGGAGGGAGAACAGGTCGACATCAAATGGGCTACGTACCTGCTTCCAACATTCCTGACCCTGGGTGCGGCGGCAAAGCATGCAGCAGAGCTTGCTTCCCAGCATACTAAGGGCTTCAACGGCGTGGTATATGCCGTCCACGCCACGCCGAATATCGTCAACTCGGGGAATGAGTCGGCCGCCATCGGAGGAATCTTATGGTCTCAGGTAATAGGCTGGATGCAAGTGCCTGAAAATTACGCGCCTCCTCAACACGACGCCCGAGAGCGAGCTAATATACAGCAACACTTTCAAAAAGCCTTCGAGGCGAACAAGGAGCTCTTCCGAAAGAACGATGGTTATGACAAGAAGTTCGACAGTTATAGCGCCACGGTAGATGTACCGCAGAAATTCAGCTCGAGTCAGGACCTGGTAGGGTTTATGAATAAGAACGGAGTGGCCGTGGGCTGGACGGGCGGATTCCCCTTGTTCCAGGCTCCTCAGGCTATCACGGCTGAAGAGTCCAAGCAGGCCAAGGCCAACAACAAAGTCTCGGCTCCCCACGAACCAGGAACATGGGATAAAATAGGGGGTTGGATGAAGTCGCATATCTGGGCCGTTGCCCTCCTTCCCGCTGTTGCTGTACTTAACTTCATCCCTGGCGTGGGTGAGGCAGCCGACGCAGCCGAGCTCGCCGCTCTTTGCGCAGACTCTGTCGAAGGCATTGAGCTGACTGAAGTCGGAGGCTCTTCACTGAGCGAGGCGGCCTCGGGTCTCGGTCAGCTGCTCAAAGGCGCAGCCAAGCTCAAAGTTGCTTAGGCAACTTACCGCGATCCAGAGAGGGGGGGGAGGCGGGGGGGGGCGATGTATGGAGTGTTGGATTCACTAGGACTTTGAAGGGATGGAGCCCCAAGCTTATTAGATATGAGTGGCAACCCGGTCATAGGTTGCGCAGAAAAGCCTTGAGCAACGAAGTTGGAAACTAGACGATGAGATAGAAGACGAATGCGAGGCCTGCCATAGCTTTGCCCATATTGCAGCTGTCACTTTCTCGCAGGCCATCGTCGACTTCAGCTGCATCTTCCTTTTCAAAGCAAATCCAGAAACTTGAATCCGGCAGACCCTTTGGCTCTCTTCGTTGTCCCTTTCCTCCTTTCCCTGACCCCTGATTCCGTCTCGATAGTCGGTCGATAGTCGATACTTTCTAGTTTCTACTTTCTACCCGCGGGGCTGTTCCATGGGCTGGGTGGGCGGCTCCTTCCCAATAGCAATCGACAACCCTATGGAGAATATGTAGACCATCGCCATGCTGGTCAAGGCTGTACGACTTCTTCCCTCCTAGCGGGGGGGGCACCTCATGGACTTTCCGCCTCGACTTGTAAACACATTGTGGGGCTCGCAGGCTCGTAGGCCCAGTGTCGTTGTTAGTGGGGCAGTGGGGGCGGCTGGCAGCCACCGCCACCGTTGTGGGGGAAAATGTGCACCCCTCGCTTATCGATAAGGCGCCCGACTATCGTCAACTGGAAATTTTCCAATCCAACTTTCTCTCTAAGCTGCCCCGTCGTCAACGCTTTCTCGCCCCGTCACAGTGGCCGACCATGGACGCGCAAGTGCACAAGCCGCACCGCAAGTCCAAGGAGAAGAAGCAGCAGCACACTGGAGGTATTTCCCTCGCCATCGTCTCTCCACAGCCGCAGCTCGCTCACCGCTCCATCCAGACCGCAACCCCAAGGCCTTTGCCTTTTCCAAGCCAGGCAAGCTTCAGCGGACAGCCGCCCGGTCTCAGGATGTAAGCAGGCTTCTTCTCCCTCGTCACCCATCTCTTAACACCAGCCTCTCCCTAGATCAAAGAGAGGCGGCTTCACGTGCCCCTCGTCGACCGACTACCCAATGAAGCCCCCCCGCGCCTCGTCGCCATCGTCGGCCCCCCTGGCGTCGGCAAGACAACCCTCCTCAAATCCCTGGTCCGCCGGTATGCCAAGGAGACAATCGCCGATCCCCAGGGCCCCATCACCGTCGTCATCTCCAAGAAGCAGCGCCTCACCTTCGTCGAATGCCCCAACCAGCTCGAGGCCATGATCGACATCGCAAAGGTCGCCGACATTGTCCTCCTCATGATTGACGGAAACTATGGATTCGAGATGGAAACAATGGAGTTCCTCAACATCCTCGCCGCCACCGGCATGCCCGGCAACGTCTTCGGCATCCTCACCCATCTCGATCTCTTCCGCAAGCCCCAGGCCCTCAAGGACGCAAAGAAGCGTCTCAAGCGCAGGCTTTGGACCGAGCTCTACCAGGGCGCCCACCTTTTCTATCTCTCGGGCGTCATGAATGGCCGATACCCCGATCGCGAAATCCACAACCTCTCCCGCTTCCTCTCCGTCATGAAGAACCCCCGCCCTCTCGTCTGGCGCAACTCGCACCCTTATACCATCATCGACAGCTTCCGCGACATCACACACCCCTCCAAGATCGAGCAAGACCCCAGGTGCGACCGTTCCATCGTCCTCTCGGGCTATCTGCGCGGCACAAACTTCGCCGCTCAAGGCCAGCGCGTCCACGTCGCAGGCCTTGGAGACTTTACTGTCGCAAACATGGAGCTGCTCCCTGACCCGTGTCCCACCCCTTCCATGGAGCAGGCCCTGGCGAAAATGACGGGCAAGACTGGGCGCCGGCGACTAGACGAGAAGGAAAAGAAGATGCATGCGCCCATGTCGGATCGAAGCGGTCTGAAAATCGACGGTGATGCCATCTGGATCACACGAGACAAGGGCTTCACGTTTGATAAGGACGACGACGATGCCGAACGGGGCGAAGGAGAAGAAATGATCATAGGTCTTCAAGCTGAGCGCAAACTACTCGGCCAGACGGACGACGGCGTGCAGCTGTTTTCTGGCGGCCAAAAGGTTACAGAGGTGGTTGAGGAGGACATGGGGAGGAAAACTCAGCGAAAGGCCCGCTTTGTCGAGCGAGACGAGTCAGAAAGAGAAGGGCATGAGGCCGCCGACGATGAGGGCTTCGTCAGCGGCAGTGACGACCAAGGCTCGGATGTCGAAGTGGATGAATTCGACGAGAATAAGGCCGGCAAATTGTTTGACATATTGGGAAAGGATTCTGAAAAAGCCAATGGGGAGGAAGACCTTGCGTTTGCCGACAGCGACTCGGACCTGGGGTCCATGTCGGACGCAGATGAATTCTTGGAAGATGACGAAGAGATTGATTCCGACGAGGAGGCCGCTGCCCTGCGATGGAAAGAAGGCATCGTCGAAAAGGCCAGGAAGCTTCACGGCAGAAGACGGTCATACCACACCGGCGATCTTGCGAGGTACATCTACGACAATTCACTCAGCCTGCAAGATGTTCTCAAGAGATGGAGAGGCGAGGATGACGAGCATGACGAGGAAAACATCGAAGAGGATTCCGATGACGACGACTTCTTTAAGAAGACGTCGGAGGAGCAAGAGGAAACGGCCGAGGACAGGTCAATACCGGTATACGACTACGAGAGCCTGGTGGCCAAGTGGACGGAGCCGGACAATGTGGAGGCGTTGCGCAGGAGATTTACGACGACCAAACTAGGCAGAGATGACGGCGACGGCGAGGATGACGAGGAGTGGGGCAGCGATGGAGACGCGGAGAGTGACGACGGTGACGGCGTCTTCGAGGACCTGGAGGCTGGCGAGGCTCCCAAGCAAGAGCCGGCAGACGACATCGCTGCCGAGCGCGAAAAGAATGCCAAGCGGAAGGAGGAGCTCAAGACGCGCTTCGAAGAGGAGGACAGGGACGGCTTCCTCAACGACAAGGCAAACGCGCGGCGAGAGGGGGGCAACATGCATGAGTTTGGTGAGGACGAATGGTACGACGCGCAAAAGGCCATGATCCAGAAGCAGCTCGACATCAACAAGGACGAGTTTGAGACGCTCGACGAGCGGCAGCGGGCGGCCGTCGAGGGGTACCGGGCGGGCAAGTACGCCAAGCTGGTGCTCGACGGCGTGCCGGCCGAGTTTGTGACGAGGTTCAGCGCCCGGCTGCCTGTTGTCGTGGGCGGACTGACGCCGACCGAGGACCGGTGGGGGTTCGTGCAGGTGCGCATCAAGCGGCACCGGTGGCACAAGCGCATCCTCAAGACAAATGACCCGCTCGTCTTCTCGCTCGGGTGGCGGCGCTTCCAGTCGCTGCCCATATACAGCATCTCGGACTCGCGCACGCGCAACCGCATGCTCAAGTACACGCCCGAGCACATGCACTGCTTCGGCACCACGTACGCGCCCCTCATCGCGCCCAACACGGGTTTCGTCTGCTTCAACTCGCTCGCCGCCGACACGCCGGGCTTCCGCATCGCCGCCACGGGCACCGTCCTCAGCGTCGACGAGAGCACCGAGATTGTCAAGAAGCTCAAGCTCACGGGCCACCCCTACAAAGTGTTCAAGAACACGGCCTTCATCAAGGACATGTTCAACTCGGCCCTTGAGATTGCAAAGTTTGAGGGCGCCTCCATCAAGACCGTCTCGGGCGTCCGCGGCCAGATCAAGCGCGCGCTCGCCAAGCCCGAGGGCCACTTCCGCGCCACCTTTGAGGACAAGATCCTCCTCAGTGACATCGTCTTCCTGCGCGCCTGGTACCCCGTCAAGCCCCACCGCTTCTACAACCCGGCCACCAACCTCGTCGGTTGGCAGCCCATGCGCCTGACGGGCGAGGTGCGCCGCGACCAGGGCCTGTCCGCGCCCCAGCCCAAGAACAGCCAGTACCGCAAGATCGAGCGCGAGACGCGCCGCTTCAACCCGCTGCGCGTGCCCCGCGCCCTCGCCGCCCAGCTGCCCTTCAGGTCACAGATTGTCCAGACCAAGCGCCAGCGCCGCCAGACGTACATGCAGAAGCGCGCCGTCGTCCTGGCCCCTGGCTCCGATGAGAAAAAGGCCCGTGCCCTCATGCAGCAGCTCCTCACCGTCCGCAACGACGCCGCCGCCCGCCGCCGCGCCAAGAAGGACGAGTCCCGCGCCGCCTTTCAGAAGAAGATGGCCGACAACCTGCAGAAGAAGGAGGCCAGGGAGAAGCGCGAGTCCAAGGAGTTTTGGCGCAAGAATGGCAGGAAGAGGAGTGCCGGTGAGGAGGGCGGCGGAGGCGGCAAGAGACGGAAGTAGGGTCTTCTCCAACCTTTTTTTTTCTCTTTTCTCTCGTCTCGCACAAACTCTGGGAACCATTAGAGATTGCGTCCTGTCTGATGTTTGCGTGCTTGGGTTGGTCGCCTGTACCCTGTGCTTTCGCTATTTGTTCGTCTCTTAACCGCAGAAAATAGCAATCCATTCGTACCATGCATATGGGCAGATGCCCACCACGTCAGGGGTATGTCCAGCGTGGCGCCCGCGTGACCGGCCCAACGTAATGAACACGTCCGTATGAATAGCATAGCATGTTTGAGTATTCATGTTTCATGCAGTCTCAACTATAAAGGCTAAGCAGCAGACACGCGCCACCGCATACGCATCCTCCAACGCAACACCGTCCATAACCTGTCAAAACAATGCTCAAGAGAATGTGCCTAGCGCAGAGAAGCGAGGGGACAGACGAGTTCGCCAGTTCGTCCATTAATAGGAATAGCACCTGCTGTGGTCGCTAAAAGCCCACCGCCGGGAGGAACCCGTCCCGCAGCCTCCTACACATTCATCCTTAGACCCATAACGTGGCTTCCTAGAATCATCGCCGTCGTCGCTGCTGCTCTCACCAGAATCGCAGTCATTCTTGAGCGTCCTTGAGGTAACAGAGAAGTTGTTGAAGGGATAAAAAAGTGCCGAGCACGCCTAAAGTCTCCGATTTCGCAGGCCTCTTCGCATCGCATAAGAAAAGACAATCGCACCATCCAGCCGTTTCAGCTTAGCATTGCATAGCCCGCGTATGCCCCTCTTTTCAGTTCGCGTGCGCGTGGAACTTGTTGTGATGAGCCACCTAGGTCGCAATCAGGGGCTCCTGCTCAGGCACGACGGGACCTGCGGGAACATCGCCCTCGGGCTCCGTGGCCTTGAGGGGGTCCTCAGTCGGAGGAGACGGAAGCTCAAGCTCCTTGGCAGCGAATGCTGGCTTGGTTGTGGCCTCGGGGGAGGCTGATCGGCCACGAATCATGTTCTGGACCTTGTCGGTGTAGTCGCCGGCGTACTGCTTGCCCATGGACGTGAGGTGGCCGGCCTGCTTCTGGGCCACATCGCGGACCTGGGCCGTCTGGGCACTGATCACCTCGGAGGCGTTCTTGATGTGGTGATCGATGAGCTCCTGGTTGGAGTTGTAGACAAGAGGCACGATGAAAGCGACCGTGGTGGCGATGACAGCGAGGCCCCAGTAAGGGACAAGCTTGGCGAGGTGGTAGGAGAGGAAGGCAGCAACACAGGCCTGTCATGCGTTAGCCCCCAAAAACCCTACAGATTGCCATCAAGGTGATGCCCTACAGCAGCGGATGCGCCCATGTTCTCGGCGAAGAGGATTCGCTGGCCCTCAATGACGAAGAAGTTGACGAGCTCGTGGACGTCGCCAATCATGCTGTCGAGGGTGGAGCGCGTGACGGTGTAGTATCGACGAGGCCTCATTTGGGTGGCGAGCCCGTGGTTAAGGACAAGCTTGCCGGCAGCCTCGGCGCTGACGGTGACGGCGAGGGCCATCCAGCACAGCTTGAAGGCGTAACGGATCACATCGAGGTACCTAGCGGCGAAGATGAGGGAAACGATCGAAGCAAAGGCAATGGCCGAGGCGCCTAGCGGGACCACGAGCATCAGCATTGATCATCGACGGGCGCGCACACTCCAAGCAGAGGGGAAAGGGCGTACGAGGATTCTTCCAAGAAAGGAGTTCCGAGAAGAAGGAGTGGTAGTGTGTCAGAGACTGGCCCGTAGCAGCGGGGTTGACAGGAGTCCTGCGAGAGGCTGCCAGGGTGGACAACTCAGACGAGGCCTTTGCAGTGTGGTCCTTGACGTTCTGTGCAACAGGGCCTAGAAGAGAGAGGGGCGAGTGATGTCAGTGGCAGTCGGCATGGAAGGAGCAAGCAGCGAGCTCACCGTTGGTGACAGAGTCATAGGCAGTGGCGACGTCTAGCGAAAGCGTGTCAGCTGGCGAGTCCCGGATACATTTCATGGTTGGCTTGAAGAGGAGAAGGAATCTGTCGAGGGTCAGCACGTCTTTCTTTCTTTCATCACGGAAGCCATGGAAAAGCATACCCTACTGGTCTTGGCAGCTTCGAAAGAGCCACCGTTTGTCGCCGGGGGCGCATCGACCGGGTCAGACATTGTGATTGAAGCTCAGCGCGACGTAGGTAGCTGAGATGGCGTGATGGAGCTCGTCGTGATGGACGAGGGTTTAGGTTAGCGGATTGGGGATATTGGCTGTCTGGATGGATCAAGGCCAAGCGATGTCAGAGACGAAGCTCGGTATCTGCGGGAAGAAAGCTGGTTGAGGGTCGGGGCAGAAAAAATCAAACGGCAGGGGGAACCGATTTGCGGAAGGGGGAGGGATGGAGGGAGCGGTTTGTGTGTTCTGATGCGTGCGTACCTGGAAGATGCGATGCAGACACGCAGGTCGAGAGGTTGACGAGGTTGATGAGGAGCACGCAAGACGAGACGAGAGAAGTCGTGATGGGAGAGCTAAGAGGGAGAGGGAGAGAGGGGAGTGTGTGGGGGGGGGGAGAAAGTAGCAGCAATGACAGGTGATGACGGTGGATGGATTTCGCAGGAGTGTACAGATAAGGCACTGTACGAAGTAGCCGGCTGGCAGGGCCTGGTTTTTTCCCCCTTCCTTTCTTGTTTTGCCATGCGTCATTCGTCATCTCCCAATACTCTGTCGGTCAGCTCAGCCCGGCACACAACACCTGGTCACTTTTATTACCCGAGTACCAACTGCCTCCTTTTTCTTGGTACAAGCATGCGACAGTTTGGTAGTCCCTAGGCGGATTGTGGCTGGTGAGGGCTCCACCCAAAGGTCGTGCCACGCCTAACTACTAGTGGCAACGGCACTCTTTCCCATTTGCTTCTTAATTATTACGGTAACTAATAATACAGCCGTTCCCGAACAGACCTTGATTGCCCTGCATACAATCTTGTTCATGCATGGACCACTGCTGTCCCGTCCAACCCTGCCGCTCTCCAGTCGACCTTGCTTGTTCTTCTTCACACACCTACGGACACCTAGTCTGGTTGGATACCAGCCAGGTAAGCAATCCAGCCCGCCAACCTCTTCGCGGCCCACTATCCTGCTTCGCGACGTCGTTTCTAATCATCCCAGAGCCTGCCGCTGCTTGCTCGATCCCGAGGCAAACCTCCCTGCATCGAACCGCCGACCGACCCCTGCGGTACATGCAGGGACACGCTGTAATTACTGTATTGTACGTGTCCGTGACTGCTGCTGTCCAAGATGCCGAGGGTGTCTGTCACTTTACATGTGCAGCTTCTTCACTACATGCCTACGCCATCGCCGTCGCCCTGCTGCAGCAACAAAACCGGGGTCGTCGAGGTTGGATAATTACTACATCATGTTTCGTTTCGAAAACGAATGAAGGAGCTGTCCATCAATCCTTAAACTCCATGCTAAGAAGAAACCCAGGCCCTCTTCTCGCCACGCATATCAGTCTGCCGACCCATGTCCCGGTCCAGGTAATCATGATCGCGCCGGTTCCTCTCACGCGTGTACCCTCCCGCCACCAGATGCAGCACAGATGATGCATATGTACAAGTGAGCGATTACCATGGCAAGCACCATATTTCGCCAACCAAATCAGGTGGCACCAAGGCCCTTGCCCGACGTGGCTCCGTCAAACACCCGTGCTCCTCACCTTCGCCAGCCCCAGAATTCCCCGCTAGCCGTCGAAGCCCCCGTCGTCGAGGTTCCAGACTTTGCGCCCTGTTCCGAAGCTGGCGCCGTTCCGTGCCCGGTCAGGAGGCCCAACACTCCCATCGCAATTGTAGAGTTTGATGGTGTCAGCGTCGTGCCAGCCCCGCCGTCTCCTGCCCCCACCCCGTGAGCTTTTCGCACGGCCTCGAGCTTCTGCTTTGCCTCCTCTGCCTCTTGCTTTGCCATTGCCTCGGCCGTCTTGGCTTGGACAAGCTCCAATAACAATGCTTCGTGGTCGTTGGGGGGCGAAGAAGCGCCCGAGGATGACGCTGGCGACGTGGCTGATTCTGACCGGGGTAGTGATGACACTCTTTTGCTGAACCCGGGGGCCTGGGACGGTGTCGACTGGCTACGGCCCAGTTTGAGCTCTCTCAAGCCGCCCGCGACGCCCTTGTTCGCCCAATCCGCGTCCAATTCGCGGCTGCTAGCATCACACGCAGAACTGGCAGACGCTCTGGTTCGTAGCGCGTGGACCTGCTTTTCCAGTCTCTGCTTGTCCTGATGGAGAGACCGCACATGGCCATGCCGTTCCCGAAGCTGCTCTTTGAGAGATGCTATCTCCTGATCCATGTCGTGTATCCGGCGGTTCAGTTCCTGAGAATGCGACATGGCACTCGTCAGTTGGTCCTTGGCGCCGAGCAATTCATCCCGGAGCTGAGACTTTGACAGGAGCACTGAAGATCGGTCCTGTTTTCCCTCGCACCTAAATCGACTTTCCGCTTGATCCAGAAGCTCCGATAAACCATCGGTCGACGGCGCCTCTCTCGTCTCCCCTGCTACCGGACTGGTTGCGACTTCGGTTTCATCCGACGATGGAGTGGCTTGGTCTGCCTCATTGCTGATGGATGACGCAAGTTCGCTCGTGTCGACGCTGTTCTCGATGCTTTCCTCGGCGCTGTCCTGGGCCCTATCCTCGGCCGACGCTCGGTCATGGCCGATCCCCCTTATCTTCAGGCCATCGAGAAGTGATATAACCGCCTTGCGGTCCTCCTCGCGCCCCTCTCGCTCCAACTGGAGGTCGTTCGAGAGGAGAGCGTGGTTCCGTTGCAGCTCGCTCAAGGCTGTCAAGAGGTCTTCAATCTGGCTGTGGAGATATTTCTCATCCGTCGTCTTGACGCTGGCGATGGACTTGGAGCCAACAGGCGTAGACTCGCGGCTTAAACAGTCGTCCGAGGAATTGGCCGAGTCGCGGGACATGATTGTTGCGTCCGTCGACGAGGACGAGCTGGAGACGCTGGACGAGCTGGCCTCCATTGAGTTGAGCGTCGAGGCAAGGCTCTGCTTTGACGTGCTGCGCCGCAGCATGCTCAGCGGGCGCGAGGGGGCTCCGAGCCCGGGCTGGAGCGTGGCGGTTCTAGCAATCGTTGACGACGCCCAGATGCGGCCGAGGAAGCGAGTCGCCGCCGTTGTGATGTCCAACACGCGTGCCGCGTTGGCAGTGGCAACGAGAGACTCTCTGTATCCCTGTTCCAGTTGCGCAAGCTTCTCCCTCGTCACCTCGCCTGTGAGGCCCACAAAATCTTGAACAAACTCGTCGGCGTTGTAATGGTAGCAGTCCCATAGACCACGAGACAGGAGGAGCTGCATGGCATCTTCCAGCTCGGTGCACGCCAGCAGCCTCGCCTCGTTCTTCCTCATTAGAGATAGCGCAACCCGCATGAGGGTCTCGGAGGCCCCTTCGGCGAAGATGACGTCGTAGATGCGGAAGAGCATCGGTAAGGGACATGTCACGGCAAAGAAGCTGAGGAACCATTGCGATACATAGGCCGTCTCCACCTGCAAATCCTCCAAGTGACTCGACAGCACGGGAAGATTGGATCGAAGAAGCTCTCGGAACTGGTGTATCCGAACATGAAGCCCAGACAGATCGGGAAGAAAACAGTCCCGTAGATCGTATCGTTCCATCAGTCTAGAAGATTGTCAGCGTCATGGTGTTTTTCCCGTCAACCGCAGTGTTTGCAGAGAAACTTACCGGACTAGGACGCAGAAGGCCTGCTTGTCAGGCATGTGCATCAGCAACGGGCCAACAAGAAAGGCCAACCCCTGACAGTAACCGATCTTGGCATCGTAGAGACTAAATGATTTGAGCACGCGGCCCAGCATACGCTGCCCATCGCCCTCAGGATCTCGGAACATGTCGACGCCCGGGAAACTTCTGCCGAGGTCCTTTCCAATGATGAGCTCATAGGGGCTGGACTCGCCACAAAACCGGTCGTACTGTTCTTCTAAGGACGCATCACGGGCACCGGACATGCTCTGCCACACCACGCCCCGCAAAGGTGGTGGGATCCCTTTGCGGATTTTGTTGGACAAGAGGGTTGGTAGGCGTGCGGCAGTCTGCTGGTAGTCCTTGACAAGAGCTGCGAAGAACTCGAGGTCTGTCATGGGCGGCGGAGGGAGCATTGAATATCGCAGAGCGGGCGGAGCTGGCCCATGCATCATCTGCCTCAGCTGGGCCATGGAGGGCGGGCGAGGCTTGCCGGCAGTCGACTTTTCCACGGTCTGGACTTTGATGCTCTTTGGGTTGGTAGCTAGCTTCGCATTCTCCTGCTCCAACCGCGCGAGGAGAAGCGCCGTTGACTGCGAGTTTGTCAGCATGGTGGTTGGTGGCGCGAGACGGGATCAAAGGGGTGAATGGGGGGTTTTACATTATCCGTCTCGTCGTCCTTGACTTGCTCGTCTTCCGTCTTCTCTAACTGTTCCCAGTTCACCTCGTCCGATTCTTCTGAAGAATCGCTTTCGTGGCCTTCAGTGCTGCATTCTCCGAGTTCGCTTAGCATGGTCACGCTGGCCGCAGTCGGCGAAAGCGTGAGGGCCGAGTCTCGGTGCGTGGCCCGTGGGCGATCTTGCTCGTCACTGCCAGTGTCGACAGAGTGGCAGTCCGTCGCCGACGGGGAAAGCTGCTCGGAATCGGCGTCGGACGAAGCGGCGGTTTCGAGAGTCGCAGCTGAAGACTCTGAGAGCCTGACGGTAACCATGGAGTCGTGGGTCATCTTAGGGGCTTGGGGTCCCGCCTCGTCAACGGCCGTCGCAGTTGGCGTGGCTGGCTTTGTAGGAGGGAGGTCTTCATGACTGGCTTGGTGGCTGCCCAACGTCGTTGCCATGATCGAGGTCGAGAGACTAATCGAGGGGTCGGGGGTTGGAATGCGTGATGACGGGGCAAGGCTCAGGTGCAATCCAGCGATGAGTGTTGGGCGATTTCGAGTCACGTCTGCGGGCGGTCGTGGAAGGCCGGCCACTTTCCTCTCCCGCACCGAGCTGGCGACTTCAATGGAAGGGGTTTACGAGCGTCGATTCGACGATGCCGAGTGAGAAGAAGCTTGCCAACCTCGAGAAGACTCTGGCGAGAGTGTTCCGTTTCATCGAGGGGCCTGCAGAGGCTGAGACAGCCAGATGCCAGGAGTTGCTGCGGATCTGTAAGTGAATGCCAGTGTCGAACTGGCTGCCAGGCCAGGATGCAAAGCCCTAGGGGTTTCCCACCAAAAACGAGAGAGAGCGGGAAGAAAAGAAAGTGGTTGACAGGGTCGAGCAACGAGCGACGCAATATGGGGGTGCTGGAGTTTGGCAGGGGATGGTTTTGCGGAATTACGAGTAAGGCAGTGGTGATTGAGTAGCAGCATCTCCAATAGTGCCCTTGTCTGGCAGGGAACCGCTGGAGTCCATGTACATTGCGTGCAGAGTCGACTCAGTCGAGGTACCTCGGGCTCGCAGACGAGTACCCACAAGCGATGTAGCGGAGACGGCGAGGTACCTGTATGGCCCCGCGCTTGTGCCCCCGCTGCCTGTACCTAGCGAAAAAGATACCCTGATGCCCGGGGGCCTGACAGTGCAATGAGAGGTCTCGCGCTGATCAGCAGGCGCCTTTGAAGGGAAGAGAAAGGAGGAACGGCAGTGAAGGGGGAAAGACAAGGTGGGGACAGCCCGTAGCAAGGGCAGACAAGATCATGCAATTTTGCAGTGGCCAAGGGGTGGTTTTGCTCGCAGACAAGGGACGCGACCGATCCCTGAGGCCCCCTTGCCCCGTTGGCCAATGACAAGCCTTAGACACTGAGAGACCTTGGCGAGACAATGCGGCACATGGCGGGTACACTTGAACAAGTACCTTTGACGATGGATACCCGCAAGTGATCTGATTCAAGAACAGCCTCGGCTCACGCCTCGCTTCAAAGGAAGACAGCTTTGTATGGTCAAAGAATCGGACGAAAGGCTCCCTTTCCCTTTTGCTCGCCCACATCTTCATTTGTTCCTTTCGTCTTCTTCACGTAGCGGCGAAGGGCGGCGTTCAAAAGGACATTGAGCCGTCTGGGCTTAGAATAAAGCCCGGCGCTCCCTCTCCACCTAATCCACATCGGCTGCCGCTAAGGCACCAACAGGAAAAGCGGGCTCCGTGCCACCCCCTGTGGCGCGAGCTATGGAAACGGCTCGCTCAGGATAGCTTCAGCCACACGTCTACTCTGCCAGCGTCCCGGGGCGTTGGTGTTGCGCAAAGACGCGTCCCATCTGCTCCAGCCGGCGCTCTGTTCCCGCACTACCCTTTGTCCGTGCGGCCTGGCACGCTATTGCTTCAGTGTCGTCCAATGCCTTTTGGTGCTGTATTCTCGGCTTACTCTGGGCCAAGTCATTTTGCATTGCTGGATACTCCATAGCGTTCACGATGGTGGGACATTTGCACGCAATTCGTCGATTTTCGGGCATTGGCGTGGCCGGCCGGAGTCGTCCGTCGTCGGCCTCGAGTATTGCCGTCTACCATCCAGGGAGCATTGATTCTTGCAAACATATTCTCATCTTTGTTGCCGCCGCAGGTATGGGACGCGGCGATGTATCTGACAAACCATCCATGGATTTATCATGGCATCCAGATACGTACAGGATGCTGACAATCTCAACGAACCGAAACATGGCTGGACCTCTTGTTCTGGCAATGCCCTCGTGGTTGAAACACGCTGTTGCAGGAGTCGGACAGCATGTTCTGGCCAACCAAGTACGTAGCTGCATTTCAAAATAGCACAAGCCGATGATGGAGAATCAGCGTCAACTCAAGGGAAGCAAGTGTCACGGCCCCATTACAGTCTTGACTCGGAGAGCCAATGATTACGTTTCTTGCCCTTTGGCGGCAGTTGGTGGCGGCAGGTATAGTCTGATCGGACGCCGGCAGAGGGCGCCTTGTGCTCGGTAGCCTCCTATGAGTCAAGGCACTGAATGAAGCAGCTCGCTGCTTGGACTGCCGATTTGGCTACCGCAAAGACGTCGCATCCGCATCGCGTCACGCTCTGGCCACGAGCCTCGGGCGCGTATCCACTCGGAGCCCCATCACGCGCATGCTGTAGTACTCCGTACAGCAGAGTACAGTGCAGAGCAGCACAGTAGAGCATCCTGGCAGCCAGCATGTGCGGCCCGCTGCACCCACAGACTGAGAGGATCGTGGTGCATGCATGCCACCCTCTATGTCGCACACCGCCGCCGCAGCCCATGCACGGAAATCCCCTTCATCATGCCCCTCCGCAGCGAGGTGTTTTCACATTCGCAACGCCACGAGTCCATGGCACCCGTGGTTGGTGTTTTTGGCGGCAACATGTCCTCCGACTCTAGGGGGCGAGTGTCATGTGTCCAACGACGGCCAGCGGTGAGCATAATGGTGGCCAGGCTAGCCTGGATTCGTCGGCGCATGGGTCAGGTCTGCGGTTGGGTGTTTTGATTGCCAAGATGTGGATTGCGTGCGGGCGGGGGGGGAAACGGGCGGTGATGGCCTCGCGGGCCCCTCTCTCGCCCTGTGTCCTCCCTCGTGCGGCGACAGCGTTTGGTCACAAACGGCGAGAGGATGCCCCCAAGAAACTCTCTCTTGCTCTCCTTGGCCCGTCACCATTTGTCTCTTTGGCGCATAAAAGGCTGGGCTGCCCCGGTATTAATGCTGGGCCCAAATCTCGCGTCTGGCCCACTGCCGTCGTGATGTTGATTGATTGCGCGCCGGGTTACGCTGTGTACTTGTATCTACTTGACGCCCCGCTCATTCTAGGTAGAAGATGGGAGGCTCGTGGCGCAGAAACACCCACGGAGCGCCAGGAATGAAGTACACGTCCGTAGCCATCTATCTACTCCTCAAGACTCGCTCTCCTGCTTTTGGGGGGAAGACGGCGCCGACCTCTACGGCATCTCCGCATCTCGCCAGGCCGCGCCATGTTTGCTCTCTTGGCTGGATTTCGAGCAGATACTCCAGTTTTCATCGTACAGTACGTACATACCTACTTAGGTAGCATCCATAAATGCGTCTTCATGCAAGGTAGATAAATTCCCATATGGAATAGGCAGGGTATGGACGAGCTTCGCCATCAAAGTCCTCGCTAGCGCGAAGCGAGCCCGTCTTTTAGGTGCGTCTGACCGGATGGTGGTTGCCAGACGCACCATGCACGCCCTGGCCTCTGTGGCGCGTGGTGCCCTCAGCTCTCTCTTTCTCTCTCTCTCTCTCTCTCTCTCTCTCTCTCTCTCTCTCTGCTCTTCATCCCCAGACCACATCCCACATCTCCGACGTCTTGCAGAGAAATCCTTTGCGCTTCCTCTCCTCATGGCCTCACCCTGAGACGCGTCGCACACACGGCGGCCGCGCTGGATTCCGGAAGCCCAAGTGGCAGGGAAGACTCTAGTCTGGGATCATGTTCTCCTCGCTGCTGCGCCGCCAGAAGAATGGCCACCGCCGCGTCGACATTCGCGACGGGAGCCCATCGCCCTCCTCTCTCCCGCCTCGCCGCCACTTCACCGGCCGCACGCATGCCACCGCCGACTTCACCGAGGCCGACGATGACGAAGATGACGACGACGGCGACGACCACTCCGACCCCGGCCGGGAGCGTGCCAATCCGCGGGGTCGCGACCCTCGCCAACCACAATCCGGCGGAGCTGCCGATGACGCCGACGAGGATGGCGCCATCAAGCCTCTGCCTGTCCTCCCACTCTTTTCTGCCACCCATCTCGGTATCGTCAAGCCCCGGCCCCCCATGGCTCTGCGCGCTCGATGGAGCTTGGCTGCCAGCTTCTAACCCGTTGGCTCTCAGACGCGCTGTCCATATACAACATCACCCATGCCATCCGCATTATCGTATGCACGCGCACCGAGACGACCCTCACGTGGGAACAATTGCGCTCGCCCCAGATTTCCCAGTTCTTGGTCAAGCCCATGCAGCAGCAGATTCGAACCCAACACTTTTCCCGCGCCACCCTGTACGCCCTCATGGCCAATTGCCTGCAGTTTTCAAAGGAGGGGCAGCGATATGCCGCCAACGCGGGCACGAGTAACACCAGAGCAAAGGTCTGCGAGCTTCTCGCCCTCAAGCTGCTCAAGGAGTATACCACTCGAGAGTTGATTGACGCCCTGGCATATGACTTTTATCCCCTCCAAGGTCTTCCCGGAGCCCAGGGTCCCCTCCCACTGAACAGAAACTCATCCAAGGCCAAGCAGACCCTGTCGGCCTCGAGGACGTCTACATTGGAGGTTGCCATTCGTGCGTCGGCCAAGCATTTTCTTGCACATCCCGTCGTGGTGCAACAGCTCGAGGCTATATGGAATGGCGCCATCACCTTCTACTCGGCGGCAGACCGCTTACACCGTGAAGCCCCTCCCAGCCCGTTCCGGAGTATGAATGGAGGCGCTGCTGAGCCGGATGCAAGAACCCCATTGCTCGGATCTCTGCCGCCCAAGCAAGGCCACTCCTCTTTGCCGCCGGGAAGAAGGACCGTGATGCTCTATGATCCCCGGCAGGCGTCCATGCTCAAGCTCTCCCGCCTCCGTGTCCCTCGGTACCGGTCTTTCCTGTCTACCCTCTCCCTTGCCGTCTTGATCGGTCTCTTCCTGGCCGTCCTGACCCAGCGGTCTGTGCAGATCACGGGCTTGGAGCTTGTGTTCTGGTTCTGGAGTGCCGGGTTCATGCTGGATGAACTGGTTGGTTTCAATGAGCAGGGATTTGCTCTCTACATAATGAGCTTCTGGAACATATTCGACCTGGGCATCCTCGTCCTGCTCATCGCGTATTACTGCATGCGCGCCTATGGTGTCTTTCTGGTCGATCCCCATCACTGGAATGCCATGGCGTACGATGTGCTGGCTGCCAACGCCATCCTGCTCCTGCCGCGCATCTTCAGCGTTCTCGACCATTACCAGTACTTCTCCCAGCTGCTAATCGCCCTCCGTCTCATGGCGGTAGACCTGGCGGCTGTGTTTGTCTTGGTCCTCATCATGTGCAGCGGCTTCTACGTCTTTTTCACGTTGTCGCAGAGTGCCAATGGCGGTGGCGATGTTGCCTACAAGATCTTTCAGATTCTCATGGGCTTCAGCCCTGCAGCCTGGGATGTGTGAGTCGCAGGAGCCCCGTCCTGCCGATGGAGTGCACTAACGGAAGACTAGCTGGCCCACGTACAACTGGCTCGCGAGGATATTGATGATGATGTTTCTCATCATTTGCCACTTCTTGATCGTGTAAGTGCAGTATCGTGCCTTTGCGTGCCTTTGCTAATACCGAGACATGGAAGGACGATTCTCATCACCGTCTTGACCAACTCCTTCATGACCATTGCATCAAACGCTACGGAGGAGCACCAGTAAGAGAAGCTGTCAAGCCCTGAAAGCTCCGACTGCTTACGCACTGCGCAGGTTCCTCTTCGCCATCAACACCATTTCAATGGTCAAGAACGATGCGCTGTTCTCCTACGTTGCCCCCAGCAATATCTTTGCGTGGCTATTGATGCCCCTGCGGTACTGCATGCCGCTGAGGCACTTTGTCTGGCTGAACCGGACGATAATCAAAATCACCCACTTTCCGGTCCTGTTCTGTATCTACCTCTACGAGAGATTCTGGCTCGCGCCATCCATATACGAGCCGACAGACTTGGTCGAAAACCATGGCAGGAGCCGTCCTAGGACGATATCGTTCCGCGATCCGATAGAGCGCTCCGCCATGTTTAGCCCCAACGTGCGGGTCCGCGAGGAATCCGTGGCTGGCTTTCACAAGGACCGAGCGCTGGAAGAAGTCTTCCGGCGCGTTCCCGAAGCCAGCACCTTGCGCACCCAGAGGAGGTACGAGAGGCGCAAGACGCAGACAGCCATTCGCAATTGGATGGATCAAAACGACGAGGCAGGCGTGCCCTTGTCCAACTGGCCTACCCTCGACAGCCGGGCGGTTCCAGACTGGCATAGACGGCTGAGCATGGGCTGGGAGCGATCCTCGCATCCCAGGCAGGTTTCTGACGTCAGATCAACGGCGAGCGACCCGGCCGACTTCATGTCCAACCACGGAGCGTCCGTTGCGCGCGGGCATGGATCGCGGCTGGACATTGTCGTTACCCCCGACTACAAGGATCATACGGATGCAGATGGTGACGATGAGCTGGTTACCAACGACGAGGATGAAGACGACGCGGGGACGAATGCTGACCGCAGCCATCAATTCGCAAAGCACGGGGTCGAGGATGAGGATTACTTCACCACTCCCATTCCGGTGCGCTCGACGAAGCCGACGTCGTCTCACGACTCATCCGCCAGTCTAGTAATTCCTGCCCCCCCTCGTGTGAGTATCCAGAAGCGCGGCGGGCACAGCCGTTCTGTGTCGACCAACACCATCCTCTACAAGCCCGAGGAGCTGCCGCAGATGCACGTGTCTTCGTCCTCAAAATCACCCCCCAAGCCGATCCCCGGTCGAAAGTCCGGGCCGAGTGGACGCAACACGGGCGCCAACACGCCCGTCCAGGCTGTGCGACGAAGCTCTCCTCGACGGCCGGTGCATGTGTCAATCTCTCACCCTCGGCCTGTACTGACGCCCCGCGGTCTAACAGAGACGGGAGGCGTCAGCCGAACGGCCATGCTCAGCCTTGACCCGCAGGACCGCCTGCGTGAGGCCAGGAGACTCTCGTCTGTGGACCTGAGCGTGCTCTCGGACAACTTTGGCGGTGACGACCCCGCCGGGGGGATGGCCGGGAGCTTCCAGACGCAGATGGCAATGGCCATGATGAAGGACAACCGCCTCCGGGTCGCCGGCGGAGTCGACGTGGCCGACAGGGACAGGATGGGGAGGCTGGTGCTGGCTCGCATGAAGACATTGGAGGAAAGCTTTGCAGACGTAATCAAGGAGATGCGCGACCTCAAGAGCATCTCGACTGCGCCGCAATCAAGGAGAAACTCGTCGGGAGAGGAGCTGAGAGTGGCGGCAGGCATGAGTGGATACGAGCGGTCGAAGGGAGCTTCCAGGGGCGATGCGACGCCGAAGAAGGGGTACGGCAAAAGGCCTGTGAGTCGGCGGAGTATGAAGGAAGGCAAGGTGGGCATGACATCGCGGCTGGACGCCAAGGGCAAGGGCAAGGAGGTGCGGTACTCGACGACCGACGACGAGGCCGAGGCCGAGGCTGACCTTGGCTTGAGGGGGAGTTCGATGTGACGAGGCGGCACGTTTGGACTGCATCTACGGGCGTTTTCGGTCTTTGGCGTCACGGTATTGCGTGTACTCTCAGGGCCAAGGGGCAGGGCAAGCCAAACCGGCTGGCGAGGGCAGGCGTTGCGCGTCTTGCTTTGCCAAGCGGGCAGGAGAAGACGATTGCGCGGATGGTATTTTGATATGTGCTGACTTGGTATTTCGGCTTGCCAACTTGCCGAATCTAAGCTCTCAGTTTATGTATTGTTATTTTACATGACGACTGCCTGGGCTCGAGCTGCCTTTTGATGACTGGTAGGATAAAGGCAGCTCTCGCGCCTCGTCGGATTCATTGAGTGGCTCTCGGCCCGGATGGCCTGGTCCGAGGCCCAAGGGTTCAGATGCCGCCGCCGCTGCGGTCGACGCTGACGTAGCCGTTGGGTGCCTTGTACTGTTGCTGGGCAATGTCGTTGTCGCGGATGGCGGCGGCCTTGTATTTGAAGGAGAGGGCGGCGGTGGTGGCGGCGGCGGCGGCGAGGACGACGATGCCGCGGCTGCGGCTTTGGATTGCGAGGCGGGAAGAGCCGTTAGTTTTGTCCTCTGGCCTCTCGGGCTTGGTGTCGGGGTCATGGACTTACTGGGCAATGGAGGGCATCATGATGGCGGCGGTTGGTGCATTGGCGATGATGGATTGGTGAGGAGCAGCATGCTGGAGGAGGAGAGGGAGGGGGAGGGGGGCTAGTAGTGGCGGTGGCGGGGGAAGGACGAGAGAGCAACACTACTAATTAGAGGCCGGAGGGGACGGGACGGAAATGGGAGGACAAAAAGACTTTGTATGGCAGATGCAGCAATTAGTCTGCAGGTAAGTTAAAAGGCACGTCGATTTATTACAGTAGAGCGTGGTTAGTAGCTTGGCAGCTCAGCCAACCAGGGATGGATTTTACCAAGATTGATCCTATCATCAGAAGCGGAAGTCTCGCAAAAGGCGTCGAGCTGTGACATCCAGAGGCAGCTTTCACGTCTCAGCGAATACCTTGCAAGGCGTGAAGAGAGCTATTATAATCGTGATGCCTTAAAGCTTGTCTGAGGGCAAGGTGCCGGGACTGGCTTAGTCAGCCTTGTGGGCATGCACGCGCACCGGCAGGAACGTCGTCTTCCCTTGGCCCACAGCCAGCACAATCACTCCGGACAAGGCAAAATCAACGCTCCAACAGGTGCCACGTCGGTGCCCTGACTGACAACAGATCACCTTGCCGCTGCCGATTCGTGTCGTCTCCATGAGTCGGGGCGAGGACACGCCCTCGGCAGCAACTGCGCAACGATGGGGGACGAGTATCATGCCCAAGTCCATCACCACCCGCCTCTGCTGGACTTGGCCGAGGTGCCCTCGGCTGACGGGGGGGGGGAACCTGCTGGACTAGCGGGTGCCTGGACAGCCGTGCAGCAAGCCCGGGACAGCTCGCCGTGAGACATGGCTGAACGGACAGGCGTCAGGCCAGTTCTTGGCCGGTATCCGTACATGTGGATTCCTTGCAGGCGTCCGCGGACAGGGCTGTCGGCCGAAAGGGGATCCCAGGCCCGCCCATGACCCAATGGATGCCGGGGGTCAAAACCCGGTGGACATCGGACCTGGGTCGGTCCAGACGGCTTTCCTGGCCAAGTCGGCGCCGGTACCAGCGACGGCATCGACTCGAAATAACCTCAAGAGCGGATCTTGTGGCTATCCAGATCATCGTCCGTTTTAACGACGCCCTTGACTTCAAGGCCTCGGGGGGTTTCGCAGGGCCCATGTCCAACTCGAATCTACGCACTCGAACGAATAATGGTACTGTCCTTCGAGGATTGCGATGAGACGAACGCGCTTCATCACCGCCTTGTTCTGCCCTTGCCGAAACGATGACTCTTGTTGCGACCCCTGCCGCGCGGCGGGCATGCTCTAGCACGCTGCACCCAAACTTGGTCGTCAGCCCGCCCTTTCTCTCTGCCCTACCCTTTCCAGCTTACTTACACAGTACCAGGTCCTTGCTGTCAGCGTCAACGTTCCCCCCCCCCTCCTCGCCGCGAACCCGTGCGTCACTGCGCCGCCATGAGTCACACCCAAGCCTTGCATGTCGAGTCATCTCATATCAATCGTGCCAATCGTGTCATAACTCCTCCTGAAGAGTGAAAGGGGGGGGGGGCCAACAGCCATGACGCAGACCGGCAGGCAGACACGACACGATGCACGACACACGCGGCTGAGCAAACCGTGACCCATCCATCATCCATTGACTCTTTTCTCTCCTTCCGTCTGCAACCTTGGTGCCTAGTGTCTGCACATTGGCGCTGCGCATCCTCGGAACTGGCCTGGACTGGGCTAGTCTGGGAGGCAGAGTCCGGCTTACACGACCACGGCATCCAGCCTCGGACTCGATACATGTGTATATAGATATAAAGACGTATATCATCCTGCCTCTTCCTAGATGGAGAGAATTAACAATCCATTCTCAGAAAAGACTTTATACCATCTCCAAAGCTCCCCCTCTCCACCACATTGTTCTCCTCAACCATCACCATCACATCCACTTCCAAGATGCCGTCCACAAAAGCTGCACTGTCAAACCTCTTCCATCCCTCCCGCCCCAGCACCTCGGCCGACGAGAAGCGCCATCTCATCGGCGAAACCAGCTCCGTCGCCTCGTGGCGCTCCTCCAGCCAAGACGACGCCCGCAGGCAATCATCCACGCCTATGCGCCCGAAGCCCAACAAGGAGAAGATATCGGTCCCTACTCTCATCATGCCTCCGATGCGCTTCTCCAACTAGACCTCTTCTCGACCTCTGATAGCGACCAAGACCCACTTGTTCATGACGGCCTTGACGAAACCAGGGGCCGGGCAGTTCGCTCGACCCGCGCCCCCACGGATGATATATATACCTTAAGATGCGACGGCGGCGTTGATATGTGTGCGTTTGTATGATTAGATGAGCTCAAGCGTCACTCTTCCAGTAGGTACAGCTTCGAGTACGCTCAGCTGGGGGGTTGTGCTTTGCTGCAGAACGAAAAATGGAGGGCCACCGGATAGATTTGCCGGCTTTGGATTGCAGGACCGTCGTTCTTAGAACTGTCTCTCATGTTGGGTGCATACGATGTCATCGCTTCGAGATAATGAAACAAGCCCAACTTTGGCACAGCCAAAGACAATTCATCGCGGCCACAACCATTGCGCATTTTCTGTGTCGGATTGAATCCCCCATCTCACCACCCTCCACTTCCGTTCAGAAACTGTCGTTGAGAATGTCCTCGTTGATCTTGACCATGGTTGGGCTGTACTCCGACGACGCTGGATCCGCTCCCGCATCAATCAAAATGTCGTCGACAATCCTCTTGCTGGCCTCCCTCGCTGCCGATCGAATCATCCATATTAGCTCGCCGTTCCCCGTTCAAGCAGGCACGCGCGTCGGCGTCACTCACCTGGCGTCTGCAGCAGCTTCGACGGCGGCAGCGCAAACTGTATCGTCTTGGGCGGGCTCATGCCGGCGTAGAGGTCCCCGTCGTCGCCCTCGTCATCGCTCTCCCAGTCAATCTCGTACCGCTGCCTGCCCCGCGTGTGCTCCGTCGCGTCCTCGCCACCCCCTGCAAACGCGTCCCGGGACGCCTTGGCCGTCGCCGGCGTCTGGACGCTCACGCCGGGCGTTCTGGGGCCTCGCGTCGCCGCGGCCAGGCGCTGCCGGGCATTGGACTTGTAGGGCGACATGAAGGCCTCGCTGCGCAGCGTCGGCACCGCCATATCTGGCGACGACATGGGCGAGTCTTGCCATGCGTGCGTCGTCTCCTTGGTCTTGTCTTGGCCTGGTTTCTTGAGCGGAGAGATGCGGTATGCGGGCTTATGGGGCGTGGCTTGGAGACGGTAGGTCTTGTCGAGGACGCGGTGGAGGAGCGGATCCTTGTGCCGCTGCACCGACTTTCCCAAGTCCTGATGCTCCAGGGATCCTCGGGGCGTCATTGACATGTCGGGCAGGCGGGCGGTGCGCTGAGCAAAGAGAACCGTCGAGTCTTCCTCGTCCTCGTCGAGCCTCGTGGTGCTCGTCTCCTCCTCCTTCATCATCTCGCGCCGCATGGCCTCGTAGGGAGACTCGAGGTTGGACAGCTGCGCCTGCATCGTCTTGGTTGCCGGGGGACGAGGGGTGCTCCCCGTAAGATCACCGTCGTCCAGCAGCGAGTCGTCTTCGCCATGCAATGTCGACTGCTCCGCACCCGAGGTCCCGGTCACGTCGTCTTGGTGCCGAGCCGTGTAGTCTGCCGTCGTATCGTCCCTCATGGCGGTGCTGTCGTCGGCTGTGGTGGTGTCGGCGTCGTCGTCGTTGGCAAGCTCCTCGTAGCCCGACAGTGACACGTTGGCCGACGCCTCGAAGAACTGCTTCCAGAACTGCAAATGTTCAGCTTCTGCACCAGACGAGTCGTAGGATGCCGCCGCCGCACCTTGGACGCCTCCCAGACTGCGCGCGAGTGCTCGCCATACTGCTCCACGACGGGGAGGATGCTGGTCGTGACGATCCTGTGGGCCTTGCTGAAGTTGTGGTCAATCTCTGGTCGACTGGTGAGCTTGGACGGTGGCGGATTGCGAGTCGGCATGTCTTACCTTGCAATGTCAGTGTGATGGATTGCTCCAGCTTCTCGAGCTCCTCTGTCAGTGACAAATTGCGGGCTGCAGCGCTTGGACGAGCCATTTTGCGGAGGCGGCACGAGAGAGCGTGTTGAGGCTCGAAGCGAAGTGTGGATGATGAGGAACCGTCGCGTAAGGGTGGTGAATGGAGGTGAAGGAATTGGCGGGGCACGGAGTAGCGCGCCCGAGCAGCACAACACCATAATACTGTGGGCACGACCACAGCCCATGGCAGATGCTCCAGCCAAGTCTCATCCTATTCATACATATATCCGTCAATTCCTCGGCTTAGCCCCTGAACTGCGCGACATAGAAGTGGCCCATGTCCAGCTTCATCAGCAGTTGCGCCACCAAGCTGTCCTCCCCAACGCCCAGCTCCTCGTATGCCTTGCCACTCCCTGCCCGGCCCTTCTCCGACACCCCCCGACAGACCGTCAGGAAGACCTGCATCTTCTTCTTGAACTCGGCGTACAGCTCCGCGGCGTCCGCCTTCTCTTCCGTCTCGCCGCCTCTCCCCAAGGCCTCCAACCTCGCGTGCTTTGCATACCGGAGCACAATGCTGAACAGCTCCTCCAGTAGCTTGAGCACCGGCTGCTGCCGCTTGCGCAAGAACAACGCAAACATGATGCGGTCGAGAACCTGTGAGTGAAGCTCTCGTAGCTCGTTGGGGCTCTGGAGCTTCTTGGTCGAGACATCCCCGCTGCCGTCCTCGAGGTCGGCCCGCACCTGGCCCATCCTTTGCTCAAACATCTGCCAAGGAATGGCGACGCCCACATCAAGGAAATACGATGCCACGCTCGAGACGAAGTGATGGGCCTCTCTGTTGAAGCGCAATGACGCATTGTTCGGGCATTGCCAGCTGTCACCCTGGGCCTTGACGCTGAGACAATGCTGATTGGTAACGTACTGCATCCGCAACACCCGCAAGAGGAGCTTGAAGATGCGGTCGTAGTGCATCAGGTGGATGGGGGTGATGATGCCGCTCAATTCCGCCGGCGTTTTGTAGGAAAGCCGAAGAAAGTCCAACGCCTCGAGCGAGTCTGGGTTCATGCACTTGTCAATCTCCTCGGTCGACAGGTCCCGAACCGCAAAACTTAGATCTCCCGGCAGAGAAGAGTCGCCAGTCTGAAGGCTAAAGCTCGAGCTGTCTCGAGAAGCGTGACTTTCAGTTAAAACCCCCATAAGAACCAGCCGCAGCTCCGAGCTAGCTGGGGGCCAGGCATCCCGCCCACCGAGGCGGAGCCCCATGACTCCCTGTCTGGCGATGCCAGCCTGCCTCTCCGCCGACGTCAAGTCGGGGTCAAACAATGCGTGTGACAAGCGACTGCAGAACATTCCGTTGCCGAAAAGATGGAAGTCTCGCTGCAGCCTCAACTGCCCACGAATGTCGTGTGCGTCGAAGAGCAACCGCAGGCTCTCACGGTTGACTATCTGAGCCTGTGCCGAGGCAATCCCACCGAATGAGAGAACGGAAAGAAGCGACCAGTGCGGCGTGGCGTCGGCTCGATCCATGTCCGCACCGTGCATATCGAAGAGTCGCTCGCGCAAGAGTTCGCTCAGAGAATCCTCGCCTTTCGGCCCAGTCATCGGTTGGTCCAGCTGTTTGATTGAGGCCAACATTTTCTCTTCCATGCCATGTTGATCCAGTCCAAAGAAATCGAGTTGAAACGTCGAGCTGGGGGCAGGCGCAACGGCTCCAATGCCATGCGTGCGGGACCAAGAGTCGCGGCGACTTGCTCGCAGGACCTCGTAGAGGTTGTCGCGATACCGGGCGGTTCGTCTCTCGAGTTCCAATATCGAGGCCCAGTCGTACAGCCACTCGGCCTTTGGCGGCTGCGTTGATTCAATCACGGCTTGTTGAGCCAAGGGATGATTTGGGTGAAAGGATCTGATGAAACGCAAGTTGCGCCCCGTCTCGAACATCGACTCGACCACATCGCTCGGCATAAAGTCCGGCACCTTGGTATGATCCAGTCGGAAGTCGACGTCTTCTACCTCGCGGCCGAAATCGTCCACGTACGTCTCCGCTTCAACCTTGACAAACCCTCTGCTTTCTCCCACGCAAGACTTTGACAGCGGAATGCCTTCCTCTCGCTTCGTTCCGATCCACTCTTCCAATAGCTCGATCCATGGGGCAGACACTCGCCGCAACATCTCGCGCACGATGACTCGAACAAAGCCTTGGCCGTCGTCCAAGGAGGACGCCATATGAAAAATGAGGGACAAAATTTCTTCGTCTGAAAATTCTTGACGCAGCCGCGAGACGAGTCTTTGAGGAGGAGCCAATGCGGTTGAGACGTCCCGGATGGACGCCTGAAGTTGCAAGAGGGAACGGGGCTTGATGCCATCTACAGCTAGCCTCTGTTCCACGGCTTGCAAGACGTGGGAGATGCTACTGGCGAGAGCCACCTCGCAGCGACTCGAGTTCTTGGCATAGGCGCTCCGGACAAAGGCACTCAGCTGCAAGAAAGAGCCCCCGCACCGGAGGGCCTGACTTTCGATTCCCTCGAGGACTTGTCGAGAATATCCCGAGATGCGAAAGCTTGGGAGCGCAGGGTGGAATGTCTGCAGCTTGTTGTCCTTTTTGAAGAAGATGGAGTCTCGGCCGAGAGCCAGTGCCAATAAGCAAGAGATGTAGGTCCTGGCTTCCACGATGGCAGCATCCGAGTTTTGGAGCTCCGGCGGATCTGCGGCCTGGCGCAGCAAGGCATCGTAGGCGGCTGGGCCAGCCTCGCTCACGAACATGGGCTGATGTACCGCAAACTCTGTGGTTTTGAAAGCATCCCATGTCCTGAAGCTAACCTTGTCATCCGACGGCTCTGCAGTGTCGATCCAGACATCTTGGGCATCTTCAGTACTGCTCGAGCTGGTGGAAGCAGTGCTGGCACATTGCTGCTCTGGCTGAGTGACCGTCTGCTTGGGCTCGACAAGGCAGAGCGAAGGGAGCTTGAAGAAGCCCTCCTGCTGGAGCGCAACTGTATCAAAGGTAATGAAGCCTGAGCTTGATTCATCTGGAGCAGCTCCAGCGCTGCTGCTAGCGTTAGCACCACGAAACGGCGGGTTTCCAGGCAGGCCACCGAGGTCCGTTGTGAACAGGGTTGGCGGCGCATCCTGAATCACCTGTTGCAGCCATTTCGACGTCTGCCAGAAGTCGGGAACGGCGAAGACGTCGGCCTCGGGGTCGCCTCGGGCCATGACTTCATTTTGCGCCGGCCAAATACGTGCGGCATTGGTCGTCACGCAGAGCCAGGGTAGACGAAGCAACCATGTTCTCCGTTGGTGTACAGTACGAAGTCATTGGATTGAGGCATCGAGACGCGATCGCGTTCCGGCCTGGCTGACCTAATGCACCTTCCGTCTGGTGGGCAGCGGGTAATTACCTGCCTGCCCTTGTTGGCGCTAAAATTAGACGGTACCTGACGGTACCTGACGGTACCTGACGGTTAATGATCTCACCTCCATCCCACCGCGCGCGCCGCTGTCGGACGCATTACTTTTCTCCCACCTCATCACTTTGCTCGTCGAGCTATATATGTGAGCGCCTACACCTTGACAGCCAGAGATTCTACACTTTAGCTGTTTAATCAGTCACTGCCACCGCACAGCATTTACCCCTCCGCGCGCATCCCCCTTTGCCATGCGACAGCTCGTTCCACCGGCAGGCAATTGATCGAGCCGTCATGCCTCCAAAGAAGCGCGCCCGCGGCGGCCACGCAGCTGCCACGCCCACAGCCGCTCGCGCCGGCGACGATGCCATGGACATTGACACGCCCCAAGCCAGTGCGACTCCCGCGGCGGCCACAGCTTCGGCCAGGGAGTCGGCGGCCACCCCCGCGACGCCCGCGCCCGCACCAGCGGCCAAGGCCGACGTGCTCAAGTACAACGAGCTCTGGACCGACGATCAGATAGCGTCGCTCTTCAAGGCCGTCATTCGCTGGAAGCCGGCCGGTGCGTCTTCTCCCCGCGGGATAAGAGGGACTGGGCTTCCCAGAGGCGCTTTGACTGACGGCTCCGCACGCCAGGCATGCACAAGCACTTCAGAATGATAGCAATATCTGAACACCTTCGCAACCACGGCTTCGATCCCGACGTGTACCCCCACACGCGCATCCCCCATATCTGGCAGAAGCTCCGCACCTACTACAACCTGGACGCCATCGACGAGCGCGAGTCCTTTGACGACGAAGATTCCGATGATAAGTACGTCGATTTCACCCTGCCAAAGTCCGAGTTCCTCGCGTCTATGCTGCAGCGCGCCCCTGCCGACCCCAGCGAGGCGCCCACGTCTCCCCCCCAGCTCGCCCTGTCGCCCGCCCCCTCGCCCGCCAACAAGAAACGCAGGCGCGCCGGGGGCGGTGCGGCCAAGGCCAGAGCTGCTTCGGCCGAAGACACCGAGGACGCGACCGACGCGCCATCGCCGGCGGCCAGACCTGCCAGAGGTGCTAGGGGCCGTACAAGGGCCGCCAGCCACCAGGCCAAGGCGGACAAGGAAAAGGACAAGGAAAAGGACAAGGCAGAGACGACCGAAGAAGAGGATAGCAATGACGACGACGACGAGAGCGACTCGGGGGAAGACGGCGAGGAAGAGAGTGTCGAGGAACGCAGCACGCCCGTCTCTAGGACCACCAGAGGAGCCGGCCGGGGTCGCGGACGAGGCAGAGGCAGGGGGCGTAGGGGCGGCGGCAGGCGATGACGGCGCACAACACATGCGGGCTAGATGGGGATGTGCGAGGACCAATTGCATGTCCCTCGGCCGATACAGATACCCAGCCACGATACTAGTGTACTATTTATTGAAATTCCATCTCTCTTCACCACTTTGCGCCCGCCAACTCCAACACGGATTCAGACCAATTCCGTCATCGGTCCTGGTCCCACGCCTCCCACTCGCTGCGATACTTGAGCTGACTCGTCCAATCTCTCTTCATGGGGTATATGCTCTCCACGTCCACATTGGACCTCTCTAGCGGGCCGGGGTCCTGTTTCTTGGGTATATCCATCGGCGGCTTTCTCTGCAGAACCTCCCACATTTCGACTTCTGCTTGATAGCTTGCGTACTCGTCGCCACGTTCGGCCTGCTCCTCCTGCCGTCTCTCCATGGCGATGGCCCGCTCGAGCGCCCGCCGAGCGCCCCGGAAGTCTCGCAAATCCGTGGCAGAGTACCACAATACCTCGTTTGCTTCGCGGCTGATGTCGCGCTGCTCTTGGTTTTCGGGCGACACGTTGTCCTCTCCAGAGTCATCTGACAGGTCGTCTTGGTCATGGTCAGAAACTGCCTCTTGTTTGATGGTCCCTGCTTCAACTGGTTTGTCCCCATCGCCCTCGTCTAGTGAGCTTTCGACTTGGTCGTATGTCATGGGCTCCTCGTCGCTACCTTCCTCCTGGTCCAGCAGCTCCTGGTAGACATTCAGGCGCAGCCTTCTCGCACTTTTGAGCCAGAATTGCCGTGCATTAGGAGCCATGCCCAAGGAAGCGACTGCGGCCTCGGCGTCCCTTTTTCTCACAATGTTCCTCGTGTTGGGGATGAGTTCATTCTTGGCCCTGATCCTCGACATGCTGATGAATAACGTTGTCTGAACAAGCCGCCTGGTGATGGACACTACCAGCGAGTAGAAGTCGTCAAACGCTGTGGCCCACACCGAGGGCGGAACATGGTCGACAAAGGTCCAGTTGCCACCTGGAATCGATGAGTTCATGAAGAAGCGCTCCGAGAGCCTCAGCCAACGGCCAAGGTGAAACAGCTGGGCAAAGGGGAGGGGCTGGCTGGCGTCGGCATCGTGGCCATGGTCGAGCCTCTGGGCTACCATGGGTGAAATGTCCCAATGACAGCCCCATTTCTTCTCCTCACGCTGCGTCTCCCGATGCTCCTGGCGCAGAGCAATGGCGTCAGCAGCTTCCTCTTGCGCGTGGCAGCACGGCTGGCTGAGCTCGACGGCTGCCGGATATTCGGCGGTCTCGAGAAATGAACGACGTTGCAGCCGCCGGCGGAGACCATGGGCCTCTTCCAGGAAGTTGATGTAGTGTTTGATCTCAACCATACTCTTGCTGTTGACACGCGACGCGATGCCGGGTAAGTCATGGCGGCCCAGACGTGCGAGGGCCTCGAAAAACTGTCGCTTCTCCAGGGTCGACCAGGTGGTGAGACCAAGCTGGGTGCGCGGGAGGTCAAAGTCATCGTCGAGGCAGACTCCGTGGGCGGCGTCGTCGATGTCCCGATTGAGGAGCTCGAGATAGTCGGCATTGAACCGGCCCTTTTGGCGCTTGAACGGTCGATGGGCAGCACTGTCTTGGATGAGCCTCTTGTTGTTGTGATGCGAGCGCTCGTCAGCACTGCTTGGCTCGAGTGCTAGGGTAGACTGTGATTCTCCGTCTGATTCGTCGTGATGACTGGAAAAGTCGCCGTCAGGGTCCATGGTCCCTGATTAGCGTCGTATGCAGCCGAGACGGGCGGGCCCATGGTAGCAGCAAGTGAGTCTATTCGAGCAGCGTTTGGAGCGAAGCCTCGAGCGATGCTGCGGGTTGGGCCACGCGAGACGCCCGGTGGATGGAGGAGAAGTCATAATGAGGCGTCTCCGGGGATTGTTTGTCGCCTTTTCCGCAAAGAGCCTGCCTCCCAGCGCGGGCAGGCAAGGATAGGACCCCTGAAGGGCGCTTACATAAGACACGTTCGCGCTGACCTCGCGCTGACCCTGCACTAACAATTACTCGTCCAGGCGCTCTCGATAAGGCCTTTTTTTTTCCTGCCCGTCTTGTCCTTATCCCGGCCGACAACAGTTTGCCTGCCACCAAGCCGCCCACGTTGTCACGTCGTCATGTACGATGCAACGCATCGCTGCAAGATGCGCGTTCCGGTCGGTCTCTGCGGCAGGCTCCCAGCTGCTTGGTCTGGGTTCCTTGAGAGCCGGCGCAGCGACACTTGCCCCGAGTTATAAGCCCAAACTCCGAGACTACCAGGAAGAATGCATCAAGTCCGTCCTCTCCTCTCTGCGCCAGGGCCACAAACGTGTCGGCATCTCACTCGCCACGGGCAGCGGAAAAACCGTAAGCCCCCCGTGCGCTTGGTGCCCCTTGTCATCTCGCCGTTGACGTTGCCCAGGTCATCTTCACCCAGCTCATTGACGAGGTCAACTCGCGCCCCGGCGGATGCGATCGCACCCTCATCCTCGCCCATCGGCGCGAGCTGGTCGAGCAGGCTGCGCGCCACTGCCACGTCGCCTACCCGGACAAGACCATTGACATCGAAATGGGCTCTCTGCACGCCTCGGGCACTGCAGACATCACCGTCGCCAGCGTCCAGAGCATCACGTCGCGAGAGCGCCTGGACAAGTTCGACCCCTCGACGTACAAGCTGCTGCTCGTAGACGAGGCCCATCACATTGTCGCCCCGGGCTATCTCAAGACGCTCAAGCACTTTGGCCTCGACCAGAAGCAGCCCAACTCGCCTACCCTCGTCGGCGTGTCGGCCACCTTTTCCCGCTTTGACGGCGTCAAGCTCGGCGCCGCCATTGACGAGATTGTCTACCACAAGGACTATGTCGACATGATCTCCGACAAGTGGCTCTCCGACGTCGTCTTCACCACGGTTGCCTCGTCGGCCAATCTCTCAAAGGTCAAGAGGGGCCTCACCGGTGACTTCCAGACTGGCGAGCTTTCCAAGGTCGTCAACACGGACGAGGTCAACGACATGACGGTCCGGAGCTGGATGGCCAAGGCCTCGGACAGGAAATCGACCCTCGCCTTTTGCGTCGACTTGGCTCATGTTGCCGGACTCACCAACAAGTTCCGCCAATACGGATTCGACGCTCGCTTCGTCACGGGCGACACGCACAAGGTGGAGCGCAGCGAGATACTCGAGGCCTTCAAAAGGGGAGAGTTCCCCGTCCTCGTCAACTGCGGCGTCTACACCGAAGGTACCGACATCCCCAACATCGACTGCATCGTCCTGGGGAGGCCGACGAGGTCGCGGAATCTGCTCGTCCAGATGATCGGGAGAGGCATGCGACTGCACCCGGGCAAGAAGAATTGCCACATTATTGATCTCGTCTCCAGTCTCGAGACCGGCATCGTGACGACGCCAACCCTTTTCGGCCTCGACCCCAGCGAGCTGGTTGACAAGGCCTCGGTCAGCGACATGCGGTCCCTCAAAGACCATCAGACAGCCCCGCAGGCCAGCGAGCAGGAGGCGCGCGCTCCATATCAGGGGCAGGCAGAGAGCTCGGATGCGGCTGTTACCTTTACAGACTACTCGTCTGTCCTGGACCTCATCGCCGACACGTCTGGGGAGCGGCACATCCGCGCCATCAGCCAATACGCCTGGGTTCAGGTAGGACCCGATCGCTTCGTGCTCTCGGCCCCGAGCGGCTCCTACATTAGAATAGAGCGGATGGGCGCCGGCCCCGGTCCCAAGTTTCGAGCGCTCGAGGTCCGCGCCCTGCCCCCGGGCACCTCCAAGGCCCCCTACGCCGCCCCGAGGGAGATCCTCACGGCGCTCACATTTAGCGACGCCGTCCACGGCGCCGACCGATATGCCGCGGACGCGTTTCCCCACACCTTTATCCATCGCCACCAGTACTGGCGAAGCCTGCCACCGACAGAGGGCCAGCTGAATTTTCTGGACCGCCTTCGCGGAGACGCGCCCACGCCGCCCAAGCTGACAAAGGGCAAGGTCGCCGACATGATTACCAAGCTCAAGCACGGCGCCCGCGGCCAGTTCGCCAAGATGGAGGCGCAGCATCGCAAGCGCGAGAGGCAGGCCATAGTTTTGGAGGCAAGGCAGGGCCGCGAGCAAGTGAGGGTCGGACCTCTCATGGCTTGAGCGGCCGGGCGGTCGGCCTCGCGACTTTGGCACCGCGCCGCACGCCGCGATTGATTTGATTTTTTTTTTAGTTGTGCAGATATACCATCGGTGATTTGATGGGCTTCATAAAAAAGAACCGTGGCTTACACGGGTTGTATAACACAAGTATGTTTGCATAGGTCAATCTCGACTCGAGCCGGGAGCAGACAGCTCTTATCTGAGCCAGGAGCGCTTCACAAGCAAAATTTTGTTTCAAGCTACTCACTCGTGCCCATTGCTCTACTCTCGCCATCTCCGTGCCGTAAACTCCTTCATCTCAAGATTGAACTTGGTCTCAGTACCCGAGAATTGCAAAAGGTTTCTTGGTTGTCGCAGCCTCATGCGAGCGTCAACGCTGAAGTCTTTCGGCTGGAGACGTACCTGAAACAGGCTGTGGCGAAGCAAAGATCGAGTTCAAGAACTGCCGCACGTACATCAGGCCCAGATTCCGCCTTCTCACATCACAACACGGGCACAGCCCAGACGACTGTCCTATGCCCTTGTTTGGCCGTGTTCATTGGTATAACTCTTCTGCGCTACGTCGCTCGAGATAATTCCTTCCATTTGTCTGCAGCGTTGTATCTGCGTGGCATCCCAGGGGTATTCTCTTCACTTCCATTTCTCTCGCTTTTTTGTCACTCGCGGGGGTATAAAGAGTGGACGTCAGTCGTCAAGATCGACACCACCTATCCTGTAACCAAATCTCAAATTTCACCGACATTCGCAGCGTGGTGGCACAGGCGCACTCAAAAGAAAAGAAAAATCAACAGGCAGCAACAAGCAGGAATCGGAGCAAAATCAGAGCCGACCGATGTAGAATCAAGACGTTGGGGGTATTCTTTACGCCAGGGTATATCCAGCCGGGTATTCGCATCATGTGTTTCTAAGCCATCTAACGGAAAGGCCCAACCGGGGCGGGGTATCCAGAATTCAAAGAATGGGAAGTCGAAGGGCGACCGCTGTCTCCAGACACGCGGTTGCCGTGGCGTGGCGTTGCATCGCCGGGCTGCGGGATGGCCAGCTTGCTGTCAATGTGCTTGCTCATCGGACGCGGGGCCCACGGGTGGTCGTCGTCTGGAAGATTCACGCCACTATCGTTCCAGGGGTTTCGGTCAGCATTGAAGCTGCGGGTCGACTCGATAGAAATGAGAGACGATTTGGACACGTTGCTCGATCCTTTGAAGAAGTTGGCGTTGATCGAGTGCGAGCTGTTCTTTCTGCGGTCCAGGAAGGACGAAATGGATGTCATGCTGCCGGGCCTGCGGAGCCGGTCGAGGATGCTGCTTCGTTCACGAGCAACTTCGGCGCCAAAAGCAGCCTTGACGGGAGAGTCGGCGGCAACGGAAGTGGGCGCGTGCTGAAGCAGCTTCGAATCAAAGTACTGAAGAGAGTCCTCAAACGAGTCCGACTTGGGTCGAGGAATCGATCCCTTAACAATGCTGGGTTCGACGCCCGCAGCCGCAAGCTGCGCCTGGAGGAGGTCGATGGCGTCTCGGAGGCCACCAGCGTTGTTACGGGTGAAGCCCCAAAACAAGGTGACGGTTGGAGAGCCGTCTTCTGTAACCTCGTCAGGGGTATGGTGCACAGTGACCTCGACCTCGTACTGGACCCTCAACTTGGTCACGAGCTCAGAGGCGAACTCGGCCGACTCGAGGAACTTGACAAGCTCGAAACTCCGGGCAAAAACCAGCTCGTGCCTGTCGGGAACCATGCCCAGAAACTCGTCGACGCAGTGGGGAACCTGCCACTGCGGGCCAGTAACCGTCACCTCATCACTCGCTTCCTCGGTGCTGGGAAAGTTGATCTTGCAGTTGTACTTTTGCTCCAGCTCGTCAATCTCGGGAAGGCGAGCAATGAGCTCGCGGTGGTAAAGGCGATCGACACTGGCGACTTGAGTTGTGTACTCGGAATCCTGAGGAACCAGTCAGCCATCTGCACAAGACTTCCCGATGCTTGGGTCACGGCTTACTGCTCTGTCGACCATTTCCAGGATTTCATTCTTGACTGCGTCCAAGTTCTGAGCATTGCGAGCAGGTGTGCGGCAGATGACGTTGTCGACCTTAATGTCGTCATCCTCGCGGCTCATGCCTCCTGCAGGACTGTAAGCAAGGGGAACGATGCGGTGATGTGTGTGGGTGTCTTTGGCTTACCTCGATCCATCGCATTGGAAAACTTGACAAAGACAGAGTGCTTCTTCATGATTCGCTGAATATGCTGGCCACCGATGCCGATGATGCGCTTGTGATACTGGTCAGGAACATGAAAGGAGATGGATGCGGGCATTTCCTGCTCGACCAGAGTCAGGCCCTGCTTCATCGAGTCGTAGCTAGCCGCCATGACATCGATGTTGAAGTTGTACTCGTTGAAGCCGTCGAATATGATTTGCACATTGCCTGCGAACGTCAGTTTTGGCTTCGTCATATCAACCGAGGACATTGGCGGAACCTACTCTGTCCCATGATTTTGTTTATCTTGCCATTCTTTTTGCCGCTGACAAATTCCTTGTGCTCGTTGGCAAGCTCAATCTTGACGCGAATCTGGTACGGAGACTGGGTGACGAATCGAAGCTCCGAGATGACCGTCAAGGCGGACTTGACGGCGTCGTCAGATCCAGTGACGCTGAAATTCACCTTGTCGAAAGACAAGTCAGCGTCCGAGTTGGCGCAGATGTCGCCCAGCATGGTCCGAATGTCCGCGGCGCCAGGAAGCTGCCTCTGATCAGACTGTTGCGTGTACCATCCCGCACCGTAGAATTGACCGGCCTGAAGACAAGTTAGACACCAACATGTGCCAACGCTCAGAGGCAGCACCTACCAAGGACATGAGCTCGCGCACAGTGCGTTCCACCGGTAGCCCCTCGCTTCCCTGTACACGAACCATGGTGCGCTGGCAGGCGAGCGGGGGAAACATGATGTAAGTTCCGTTGGCCTCGAGGATCTTTCGGACCTTGTCGAGTCGCGAGAGCAGGATGCTATCAATCTTGGCTGCGGGAATAGTTACGTCCTTGACGTAAAGCCGGATCCGAGAGACGGTTTCGTGCAACTTCTGCTTGGCTAGCTCGATCGCATGAGGGCTCTCACCGGTGATGAAGATGTCCGCAGGGTCTCGGCGGTGCGAGTTCGGGGGGCAGTAACGATACATCTGAGAGAACAGGGGCGGAAAGTAGATGGCGGTACCGGTCGAGGATTCGATGAGCTTAATGTTCTTTCGATGTCGCCCACAGACAAGCTGTTGGAGGGACAGTTCGACTTTGGTGACGTCTACAACGCGGCCAAGCTGTGATAGGGTTAGGAGCAGAAGGGGGAATAGGTGAGGGAACACAGGTAGAGTGAAGCGTACCAGGGTGTCAATATGGATCAGAACACGCGCTTTGGCGTGTTCCGACGAAAGGATATCACCGTAAATGGCGACTCGCCATCTCTGGTCCATACGCATCTCCGAGTCACCTGTCATTCCGTCCACCATCGGTGTAAGCTTCGGCCCGAGCAGGAAGATGTCGACACCGCAAAAGTTGGAGATGTAGTCGAGTGTCTCGACGACGGGCTTCTTGAGCACACCAGCTCCGAGGTCACAGACGAGGTTTCCATCAATGTCGATGGTTGTGCAGCGCTGCAAGCACGTTAGCACTCTGAACAGCCCGCCAACGACCGATCTGCCAGGCGAGGCACTGGCGTACCATGGAAATGGGTATCTCATTCAAAATGGTCTCTCGGCTCTTGTTGACGAGCTCGGGGGAACCCGAGAGGCAGACGGTGGTGACCTGTTGGCCCTTGCCATTCTTGGCCGACGATGACAGCACATGGGCTTCTACGGGCAGCGGTCCAACGGACAAGTCGTTGCAAAGCTTGCGCAGGTTGGCTATGTTTTGTGCGTGGGCGGGCAGCTCGTGCACCTGGACGTCGTCGGGAGCGTCCTCGGGGTGCGTCCATCGGAGGACGGCATCGGTCGTGGCGTGTACGATATCCTCGGTGTTCGGACCGGCAAGGTCGGCGGAGAAGGGGACGTTGAACGAGTAGTGAATCGTGGCATCGGCAGCCTGGGGCGGGGCAATGGGGCCGCCCGGTTGTGCCGTGTTCTTGGGGTGCTGGTTGAGGGGATTGATGGGCATGTTGGGACGGCCCATGCCGAAATTGGGGCTCATCCTCTCGGACCAATGACGCATGTTGGCCAACTTATTCATGGTGAGCGAACAATGGCAGTATCGATGGAGGGCGGTAATGAGGGACCGGAGGGGACGCGGCCGAGCGGCGAGGAGGGGAGACGGCCGATGGGTATCCAGGGAAAACAAGGCGTCGAAGTCGAAGCGAAGGAAGCCGCAGGTGCAAGGGGACAAGGTGAGGTCGAGAGGGATGGGGGTGGGTATCGCAGGAGAGGCAGGTCGTGAGAAGAAAGAAAAAAAAAACGAGAAAATCAGAGGGAAGCGGACGGCGGCAAGAGCAAGAATTGGCGCTCGTGGTCCTTCCAGGCTCCTTGTCGAAGGGTGGTGGCGCGAGGCGGTGATGCAAAGGGAAGAGAGAAGAGGGCGCGGGTGGAGAAGGAAAGGAAAGCCCTCTCTCTGTCTGGCCCAAGGGTGAGAGTGAATGAGGGTGGAGGCGGAGGCGGAGGCGGGAGGTGGAGGAGCCGTGAGGACAGAGAGGTAGGTACACTTGGGCGCGCAGGATAAGGCGAGACAGGAGAGGGTGTGGGTGGGTGGATGGGGCGGGGCTTGGTTGGACGAGCCCTTGAGTCGTCGAAATCGAGGCCGCCAGCAGGGCAGTTCACAGGCAGAGACAGAGGGACGGGAGCCATTCACGGCGCTGTCCACCGGCCCTCCACTGTGTTGGCAGCCAACCAGGGCATGTGCCCGCACGGCCGGGGGGGGGGACCAGCCGCAAGTACTGTACCTCGACGCTTAAGCTTGCACCGGCAGGGCCCTACTGCCTCCAGGCAGGCCACTGTACTGGTACCTAACGTGCCATCCATGGATGCCAGGATGCCAGTACTCGCTTCATGCAGCGGTGGCCTGCTGCGTAGTGCGCTGCTGGCTGGGGCTGCCCGGCAAAATACCCGGTTTGTGGGAGGCGCGAAGCACAGCGCGTCCGCAGCTGGTCAGGTACCTCGCGCAGCCTGTGGAGTCTCTCGCACCGTGCTGGGGCGGTTGTCCTGTGCGCCGTCATTGCACTGCACGACAGGCTGGAAATGCAGTGCCATATTCATCTGTCTCACCTCCTTGGCCCATGCAACAGGCCCCATGATTGCGCTCGAGGTGGCCGAGATAAACTCATCCGTGCTCCATGAGCCCTTGCCCTGCCCACCTGAAAGCAGCCACGGCCGGCAGTTCCCCAGCAAGTCGTTGACCTCGGGTACAAGTTGCGCGTGCCAGCTCCACCAACAGCCCTGCCATCGTACTGGGGCTGGAACGCGGCGCCGTACACCGAGGAACCGTAGAGTACGCACGCAAGTAGTACTGCTGTGCACCTGGAGGTGCGGGCTGAACCCCCTCGGTCCATGCCTCCCGCTCCTCCATACCGTAGGGAGGGAGTGTGGCATTCGTCAAAGCAAGGAGATATGTGACATGCTGGTGGAAATATAAATAGCAGCAATCCCGCCCTACGCGAGCCAGAGTGTTCAAGGGTATGAATGGGCATGTTAAATCGAATGCCAATAGTACCTTACCTTACTTGGGTACCAAGAGCCGGAGTCATGCACACACTGTGGGAGGAGGCACAGCGCTCACGCGGCACGCAGTACGGATACGCCCACAAGACCCACGGTATTACGGGGTAAGGGCAGTACTACCGGTAAGAGATGCACCGTGTGGATTTGCCCGCCTGGCGGGTGCCGGTGAACCCTGAGCTGCCTCTCCACTTTATGCCTACCGAGTACCGCCCAGCTTGTTTCGCGCTCGTGTTGAGAGCGCCGACGCACCAAAGCGAGTGGAGTGCGCAAGTGCATACGTATGCCAAGCCGCCGCAACAAAAGCCCCATGGATCAAACAGCTTCAATATCCCCCGATACGCTCTCAACCTGCGAGTCGTTCATCAAGACGTGGACCGTCGACAACAAATACCCGTCTAGGGTAGCATGGGCACCCGACGCCAGAGGCTTCTGCATGCCACAGAGCCACCATTCCATCCATTCGCCAAACGTACGGGAATAATGTTGTTCCTTGTTCATGGGCACGGCAAGATAATAAGGTTAGCCAAAGCTGAGCAAAGTCAAAAGCCCCCAGACAACGCGCGGCCTCGGGAGTGGACCCGCCAAAAGAGCGGCACCTCTGCTCAGGGAAGACATCAACCTGCTGAGGAAGGGAGATTTCCCGGACCATGTCGCAGAATCAAGGGGTGTACCGTACGTACGTGTTTGTTTGATGCCGGTGAATCATTGCCCGGGGGCTTTTGGTGTGCCAGACAGAGGAGAGAGGTAGGTATTTTGATAGCACTGTCACGTAGGACCTACAGCCTACAGTATTATGTGTATGTACATGCCTCATACCTCTTCCTCAAGCCGGGACAGTCGGGCCTTAGGTAGTACCTAATAATTGGCCTTCAAAAGCACATGCAAGCCGTCACCAAAACAGCGACTGGGAGGACTGGTGGCGTGCCTTTTGCTCCCAACAGCCGTAGCTTTTTCTCGACCCTCTCTCTCTCTCTCCCACTGCTGAAGATTAGGTCCGGGCTCGTGATACCTACTGTGTGATTGATCGGGCTAGCATCCATTCGCTCCTCCGCCTTTACTCTTAGCGACTTGCTCTCTTCTTGAGGCTGTTTCGAGCACAGCCGCCAAGGATTAGGTTCCAAACACTCCCGTCGGTTTGGCCGCGTCCGCAGCACAAGCGATGTATTACTGCCCGTCCACCGTGCATCTGTGCCAGACGACGATACTATATAGGCTACGCTCCTTATCGCCTCAGCCCCAGCGCCCGAGCCCAACCCAAAGGGCACTGTGCATTATTAGCCTCCCGCCGGCTTCCATCCTCTCCGCCGTGTCAGGACAACCCGTCTCTTCAATTCGTCCTCCCCCAGCTCTTCCCATGGCCCCGTCTCGCAACTTCCCCAACGATGGAAAATGGAGCTTCGTGCGTTCCAAGCCTCGGCGCACCACTTCCGCTGGTTCCGGACCCTCCCACTTTACGGGGAACCAGTTGGTATTCTCACCTCGGATGCTCGCTCTTGTGTCGACTTGCAGCCCCAGCCCAAACTGTAAACCCCCCTTCCCCCCTTCCACCCTACGGGGCCTTGTACCGCGACGACGGCGGCCCGGCTCCCACCCTGGTGGCAGACCCAAGCGCTACTGCTTTCGTCATCGCCTCAACTTTGACACCACAATTCGGCGACCCCCTCTACGCTCACCATCTCAACAAGAGCTTCATTGTTCCGGGGTATCGAGGTGCTAATCCGTTTATCCGCCCACCCGACTGTGCAAAGCTTTGTATGTAATCTCCAACCCGACGCTTCTGCTACCTCTGAAACGATCATGATGCCTCGTCTCGCGCCCTTCCTCAGCGATAAACCTCTCTCCGCGCATCGTCTGCATATACAATCTCCTGCGTCGCGCCTCGGGGCCGCTCGATGAAGGCAATCTCGTCGGCTCGCGGAGCCTGCGGTCGGTGGTACGGCTCCGTGGGCCGCGCCGCATACTCCCTCACGTACGGCTGCGCAGCCTCGCGCCGGCCCTCTGCATGTACACCTGGTGCGTATTCATGTCCCGGGATCTCGGGGCGCACACTCTGCATTCGCCCGTATGCCTGCGGCACCTCGTATCGAACCGCCTCCACCGGCATCATGCTCGCGGCCCTCGTAGCATACCCCCCCGGCGCCTCGTTCACAGGTCTTCGGTCTCCAACTTCCATAAATTCCCCGGGCGGTGCCATCGGCCGTGGTTGGTACTCTCTGTGCCGACCGTCTCTGTATTCATAAGGGGCGTACTCGGCCGGCTGGGTCACGACGCGTCTGGGCATCGCATACGCTGCCGGGGCGCCGCCGTATACAAGGCCCCCCTCTCCATACGGCTCTGGGCCGGGATGCCGAGAGACGGCCCTCGGAGGCAGCCGCTCATACACGAGACCGGGCTCGCCGGGCCCGACCGAAGGAGCGTTGGGGCGGTGGACGGCGGGATGAGATGGATCGAAATACTCACGCCCGAATGCGTCCACCAGCATCCGTGGCTGAGGGGGTTTCGGCTGCCCCGCATATGCGTCGCCTTCAGGGCGGACGCTCACGCGGCCTCCCTCGGTGTACTCACGAAAGGAGCGCGGGGGTTCCCGATACCCATCGCCCGCAAACACCTGCGAGACTGGGCGTGGGGGATAAGCCATTCTGGGGGAGTACGGGTATGGCGGCACCGGGCCAGGCAGTCCGTAACCTCGGACGTGGCCGTCGGCGGGCAGCCTTCGCTCGTCCAGGTACTCTCTTCCGTATCGCTGGTCGCCAATCAAGGCCGTGCTCACGGCGCGTTGGGGGTGCGCCCTGGCACTGTCGTAGCCCAAGGAAACTTGCTCGTCTCTGTATTGCCGCGTCAGGTATTGGCCGTCTGGGCCATGAACAAGGGGCCTCTCGTAGCTTGACTCGTACTCAAGTTCAATCGCCTGCCCCTGAGACTGGCGCTGACGCTTGTTTGCCCGGACATACGACGGCGCAGTCAATGGGGAAGCAGACCGGGGCTCGACTTTGATGCATGGGTTGGCCTCGACCTCTGGCGCTTGCCGGTCCGCCTTCCTCTTCTTCCTTTTGCTCTTTCTCTTTTCCGACGCCCTCCCGCCTTGGGACGAGCTGTCGGGGCTGGTGGCAGCCGACGGCTCTTGTCTGAGAGCAGCAACTTGCGCTGGCGTACCCCTTGTACGCGGTACGGCTTGGGAGGGGCCGTCGTGGCCCTGTCCCGGGACAGCCAAGGGAGAGATCTGGGCTGGTTGGGGGGCGACAGGCTGCAGAGCATGACCTCTAATGAGGGGAGATGGAGGATGGAGATCGACGTAAGAATTACGCTGTAGCTGCGTGTGACTCCTGGCAACCTCGACTCTCGCCGCGTCAAGCTCCAGATTCGCCGAGTCCTCGGACTGGCTTTGCGCCCCGCTCGCGGTGTTCTGGCTGGGCGGAGTCGCAACAGCCCCTGCTCCGACGTAATTGTTAAGCCCTGGGACGACATTGGCCAAGGGCGCAGCCACCACAGGGTTGGCAGACAAGCCGCCGTGCTGACTGTCCTTTTGCCGTGTCGGAATGGCCGCCGGAGGCTCTGGCGCGACTACGGCTTGAGCTCGCCCATGCTGCGTCTCGTCGACAGTCTGCGAAGCGGAGTCTGGTTTTTGAGGCACGGCGCCAGAGCTCTGCGGCTCAACCGAGTCGTTGCGAACGCGCGACGTCATTTGCGACTGGGGAGTGTCGTGCTGTGAAGAGTAAAAGGTCTTTTCGTCAAAAGAGTCACTCGCGGCATCATGATTAGCAGTCAAGTCTTCACCAACAGGTGAGGGAGCAGCAGTCTGCGGCACCAAGGTCAAAGCCTTGGCCAGCACGTCAGAGATGTCGAGGTCAGTGTAGCGCTCCGACTGCGAAGTCTTTGCGGAGCGGCGTTGCTCGACTTCATCCCGCAAAGCACGCTCCAGCCGCTGCCTCTGGAGGGCGACTTCTGCTCTGATGAGCTCGTCTGATTTTTCAAGCAGAATGGGGTTGATTTCAGTCTGGCCAGAGGCAAAGGGCTTCGGTATGGCCGACGATACAATGGCAGTGCCTTTAGCGGCGTCTTGGTCCTTTGCATTCGTCGGCCGAGACGAAGGGAGGATCCCCAGAGGAGCGCCATTTCCCTGCGACAGCGGCACAGCCGTGGCCGCGGCGCGAGGCGACGGCAGCGGCAGAGAGCTGGCGAGGTTGGGAAGCTTGATGGTGGGATGGGCGCCCGAGAAAACGGCGTCTCGAAAGCGCACAATCTTGGCATACTGCTGGATTTCGTAGGCTTCCTGGTCTGTGAGCTTCCGCGGAGCAGCATCCGGGGTGCCCAAGGAGGCCTCGGTATCTCCGACCTGCGCCATGTCCGCAGGTTGCCACGATGCGTCACTTGATGCTCCCTTGACGAGGCACGAGTCTCCAGCTGGCCTTTGCGACAGAAGCTGGAGAGGATGTGGGAGCAGGCAATAGGGGCCTCAGTTCCCCAAACCGGCCATGAGCGCGCTCGAAAGAGTGCGCGTGAGTGAGAGAGAAGGGGAAGTGTTTGGGCAAGGGGGCCGTTGAGAGGTTGAGGCAGGGGTTGAAAGACTTCAGGCGGCCGAGGCCCAAGCTGTCAACGGACGAACTGGGCGGTGTGGGTGGCAGAATTTGTCTCGGTACCCCGTTAGCTGTTGTCCCGTCCGTCCTCAGGGAATAATAACAGGCGCTAGCCCTGGCGTCGCCATGAAGCTGTTGAATCGAGGCAGCGCAGAGTCCATTCCAAAGCCAATGGACGAATCACTCGGTCGTTGAAAACATGAACGTGATTTACGGCCATGGGGTGCTCCCTCGATCGAGACTTTGACCACTCTCTGCACTGGGGCCCGATTGCGGCCGTCTCGTCCGGTGCAGCATGCGACCACGCCGTAGCCTCCACCTAGCCCACGCTGCCAAATTCTCCTTACAACCGACCAGCAATAAGTCGTTATATAGAGCCCATCTTGGCCTGCCATACTGTCGAACCTCCCCCCTTTCCCTCTCCCCTCGCGGTCTCTCTTCATTGCTTTATTCGCCACAGGCAGCCCCCCCCTCGGCACCTCGTCTCTCGGGCTTCCGCCAAAGCCCCGCCACCGCCGCCGCAAGCATGGCCGTCGTCAACGGGACCGGCTCCCCCAAACCGGTGCTGTTCTTGTGCGCACATTGCTCCCGCTTACTTCTCGATCCAATCCGAAACTGACATGCCGAGCAAGTGATGTCGACAATTGCCTCTATTCCCGGAGTGAGCTGCATCTGGCGGTGACTCACGCTCGACAGTCGCTAACGTGGGGTGCAGGCGCCAAGGTCCACGACTACATGGTAGAACTAATTGATCAGTACTTTGTCAAGCATCTCGACGTGCCTGCCGAGGAGGCGGCGAGGCTGCACAGGGACTATTACACAAACTACGGCCTGGCCATCGAGGGCCTCGTGCGCCACCACCAGATTGACCCCCTCGACTACAACGCCAAGGTCGACGATGCCCTGCCCCTCGAGGACATCATCAAGCCAGACCCGGAGCTGCGCGCGCTGCTCGAGGACATCGACAAGTCCAAGGTCACCATGTGGCTGCTCACCAACGCCTACGTCACCCACGGTCAGCGCGTCGTGCGGCTGCTTGGCGTCGAGGACCTCTTCCAAGGGCTGACGTACTGCGACTATGCGGCGCGGCCGCTCATTTGCAAGCCGGACCCTGAAATGTACACAAAGGCCATGCGCGAGGCTGGCGTCGAAAACGTCCAAGACTGCTTCTTCGTGGGTGCGTTCTACCCCTCCCATCTTGACACTGCATCAGCGCCTGACTGGTACTAGACGACTCCCATCTCAACTGTACGAAAGCCAAGGAGTTTGGCTGGACAGTCGCTCACCTCGTCGAGGACGACTTGCCGGTTCCCAAGACGCCAGCTTCGCAATACCAGATCCGGCACTTGCGAGAATTGCGAAAGATTTTCCCCCAGTTCTTCAAGTTGCCATCACCTTGAGGGTTTCTACAGGCCAATGGGGGCTGCATGGGAGTTTCTTCCGTGGACTTTGACTGGGCAGGATAGGGCGGACGTTGGGGCAAGGATAGAGGAAGGAGAAGCACAGTAGCACCATAGACTTTGTTCACGATAGAAGATGGCTAAAATTTGGTTGTCTCAACCCTCATAGGACCAAACCCGCCACCCCCGAGATGCTCCATCATTGACCGAAACCCATCGACCCAAACTCCGCGCTATGCTCTGTCCACAATCACGCACGGCCCATGGCGGCCGCAAAAGGCGATTCTCAAGGCCTCCGGACACTGCGAATGACGGTGTCGAGCTGAGCCAGGATCTGGTCCCTCTCCCTCAGCGCATCCTGCCGCTGCGCCTCGGCAGCCTTGAGATCCTCTTCGAGATCCTTGATGTTTCGCTCCTGGTCCTTCTCGCTGTTATCGAGGCCAGGAAGCGAGGATATGAGGTACTCTATCTCCTGCTCCTTGACAATGAGGTCTCTCGAGAGCTCCTTGAGACCGGCTTGGAACTCGTCGGCGGGAAGCGGATCAACTGAAAGAGATGGGTGAGCGCCCGCGCGGCCGAGCAGCGGTATCGCGAGACCAACCTTCCTTTTGGTGCGGCTCCTGTTTGATGTCGCGAATCTTGTCGGTGGGGCTCAGCGTCTCGAGGTCGTGTCGTCGGTGGACAAAGTGCAGGCATGCGACAAACTGCTGGGCTAGCTATTCGTCGGGTCAGCGCGTGCTTGCCGAAAGGATCGAGGCGTCAAGAGAAGGAGCGTACCTGATCGACAGCATCCTGCAGCTGCGTGAGTCGGTCCCCCATCGCGGCACGATGGCTATGCGGTCAATCCTTGGCCGGATGCGAGACCGGAGGTGGATTGAAGAGGCTCGTCAAGCGCCGAACGGGCTTGGCGCCGCGCCGCGAGTCGCAAGGGGCGACGCACTGTCTCCCGCACTGTAGCCGTACCGTACCCCGGATTGCGGGCAAAAAACGATCCGAGGCACCCTAACCAAACTACTCGGGAAGTGAACACCCTGTTGTCAGTTCCAGTCAGCCTCAGTCCAAGCAGAGCGCTCTTCGGCCTCGCCCCCTTTCTCCCCTTTCCTCCCTTTCTCCCATCGTCCACCTCCCTCGTACCAATTCTGCTGTCACAGGCTCTCGCCCCAACGGTACAGCTTGCAACCGCCCCGCAAGCATCAGCAGAAGCGGCCACAATGTCTGCGCAGCCGCCACCTGGCCAGATGCCTCCGGGCATGCAGCGCCCAACCCCTGAGCAGATCGCCGAGATCCAGCGCAGGGTGGCAGAGGACGCGCAAAAGGCGGGCATGACTGTGCCCGAGTTTATCGAACACATCAAGCGCCAGGCCATGGAGCAGCAGCGCATGCGCATGCAGCAGCATCAGCAGCATGACCACGACCACGACCACGACTGCGACCACGACCACGACCACGACCACGACCATGACTACGGCCATGATCACGACTGCGACCACGACCACGACCATGATCACGACCATGATCATGACCACGAACACGAACACGGCCCCAACTGCAACCACGACCACCATCACTCTCAGTCGCAGCCCATCACCCCCGGTCCCCCCAACCCCAAGGCCATCGCTGTCGCCAAGTTCCTCAGGGGCCAGGACCTGAAGCCGCGCACAAGCATCCTGAACGGAGAGCGCAAGGACATGTTCAAGGGCACGTGGCCAGAGAATCCCCGGACAGCGCTCAGCCACGGTTTGCTAACACGTGCCGCAGTCAAGCGCGCCCTGCGGGCCCTGCAGTCGCCCGCTTACGAGAAGGCGCGCAAGAAGAACCCGCTGTTGCCCGAGATCAACGACCGCGCCTCTCTTGAGAACACGTTCAAGCTGCTCCCGCTGAGCATGCTCGCCCTGCGTGTCAGCAAAATCGAGTCGGACTCGAGCAAAAAGGCCAAGCGTGTCAAGGGCCAATGGAACGTCCGCATCGAGCAGCAGCAGGAGGCCAAAGAAGAAATGTACTACGCCTGGCTGTGGGAGGGCAGCCAGATCAAGCGCCAGCTGTACGCCGCTCTCGCCCTCCTCATCATTTTCATCATTGTCCTGTACCCGCTCTGGCCGTTGAAGCTCCGCCAAGGAGTCTACTACCTCAGCTGGGGCCTGCTGGGCCTGCTGGGCCTCTTCTTTCTCATGGCCATCTTCCGTGTCATCCTCTTCTGCATCACGTACTTTGCCGTCCCGCCCGGCTTTTGGCTCTATCCCAATCTGTGGGAAGATGTCTCTTTTATGGACAGCTTCAGACCCGTCTGGGCTTGGCACGAGGTAAGCTCATTCTCCCCGGGCCTTTTCCGATAGCACCCGTGAACCTCACTGACTTCATCGACAGACGGCCGAGGAGAAGAAGTTGAAGAAAAAGTCAAAGAAGAAGTCAAAGACAGCTGCCTCTGGCGCCGGCACGAATGCCACCTTTGCCGCAGCCACAGGCCAGGTGGCGCCCACGACGGCTACGACTACCGGCACGGACACACAGATCCAGACGGGCGACATGCACCAGCGACACTACACGGCGCCCAAGGTGGAGGAGGAGCCGGGCGACGACGAGTAGGCCGTTTGATCATGGAGAGGAAAGGGGTATGCGCAGGCGACGGGTATCCAAAGAGGGAGGACGCCGCGGATGGGAGGACTCTGCGTTTGCACACGCAGTGGTGGAGGGGGGGGTGAGAAGGAGCTGGCGGTGGCGCGGGAGCGAATGCGGCACTTGCATAGCTTGAGAGCCTTTATTCCAAGAGGAAGCCGATGCTCCCTAGTTCAGGGGTGGCCAAAAGCATACACACAGCAAGGAACATGTGTCCCAGGCCGGGCCCCCTTGCCCGTGCATCTTGTATTTGTAGGATCAAGGGTGACGCGAGAGCAAGGCCCCCCTTTGCGTGCTCGTCGAACATGTGCTCACTGCTCGCTGCCCCTGGCACGCTCATGATACCACACGGCGCCCGCTGCCGTGGCGCAGTTGGACAGGGTGCCGTCGAGGGTAGCCTCGTGGGCGCCGAGCCTCGGGTGAGCGCGTGAGTCGCCGCGCTGGGGACGTCCGCTGGCGTGGAAGTAGTACCAGACCTCGCCGAGGCGGGTGCGGCCAGGGCGCGCTGCAGGTCGGCGAGCGAGCGGGCGGTGGCGTTGGACGGCCGGATGCCGGCGCGGGCGAGCCAGCGGTGGGTGTGGAGCGGGCGGTGCCAGGCGACGGCGGCGTCGAAGAAGTCGAAGAGGTCGGCGTGCGGGGGGGCTCTGGGGCCCTTTGGGAGCACACGGGTCAGGACTCGGGCTGCCCGCCGTCGGATGATGGGGCGCACAGACGGGGAGAACGCACGTAGCACCCTCTCTGGAAGGTGGAAAAGCACGTGGCGTGCTTGGAGAACTCGTGGGCCCAGAAGACCCAGTTGGCGTCGTGCTGGCTGACCCAGTGCCGGCGCATGTATGCCAGCAGGTCGAGCTTGCCGTAGGGCCCGAACCACCTGTCGATGGGCTCGCCCGCGTATGGCGGCACGGGGACGCCCGAGGGGGTGCCGTCGGTGGTGTTGGGGACTGGCTGGGGGTCATATTGTCGACTAGAGGTGGTGAGCCGACGCATGTTACGCCACCAGGAGCGCATACCTCAGGTCGCAGTACTGCGTATACGTCCCTGGGGCCGTGTACGTCAGCGTCCATGATGCTCGGTCTGCGAAGCGAGACTCACCGTTGCAGAAGTCTGAATGGAACAGGTGTTTAGTTAGACAACCACCGCCCGTCTCGGCGGCACAGCAACTCTGCACTCACCGGGCCAGAGCCCGTGGATGGACCAGGCGTTCTTTGCATAGACCTGCCCCTTGCTCTCGAGGCCGGTATGCGTGTTCCAAAGCTGGGTAGCAACCTAGGTAGCCATTCGCTGCCTCAGCCGTGGTGCCGGACCAGCTCGGCAACAGGGCCACACCAACCACGAGTCCCCCAAACGTCTCGGTGCAGCAGCTATCCGCAGCCCTGTCCGGCAGCGCGCCGGGCGAGCACGACAGCACCGGCTCGGCTGCGTGGGCATAGAACACACGAGTAAGACACCGGAGACGGGGCCAGCGAGCATCGAGCCTTACCGAGCGCACACGTGTGGTTCGCGGTCGTGATGCCGGGATACAGGCCCGCGGCCGCGAGCCGGACCAGCGCCGTCGCTGCGACTGCGGTGCGGTGATGCATGGTCGTCGGCCGAGATTGGTTCCAGGGCCGTGCCAACGGGGGTACAGGACGTGGTATCTGCACTGTACACGACGGTGAAGAGACGGGTCGAATCAGACAAGTCGGATTGCCGGGAACAACAGCTGCGGTAGGCGGGCAGCCGGCTTTTTTTGTAGCCCACGCGATGCCCGTCGTGCCGTTGCTGGTATCGGCTTCCTCCTCCTGCAGCTGGCTGTCGTTGCAGACGGGCCAATGGGCGGCCCGCCCGCTGCGGCCTGGCGACTTGTTCTGGGCTGGCGCTGGCCACATGTTGCGGAGAAAGCAGCCAGCTGGTTATAGCTGTCAGCTTATAGAGAAGGATGGCTTGTCTTGCCGCGAGGGAGTGGGACGCGGGTGAGGGGACTTGGGATGGGGTCCAAGCCGGCTCTTTATCAAAGACCAAAGAGCAATAGGCGACCGTTTCGAACATGTCCATTACACTCTGAACCAGACTTCATTGTACAGACAACGCGGCCAATCCACCAAGCCCGGCCGCAGTGTCGTCATCAACATTAAGGTATACGTAGACATTGGTCGTCTATGATCAAAATCGAAACCACGCATTGCCCTCTCAAAACATCAGGCAAGCACCGAACGCCAGTTGGAACCCGTCCTCCCCTTGCCAAAGCCGTGGGACCCATCTCTCTCCCCTTTCTCCCGTCATGTTACTAGAGGTGCTTGTAAAGAAAGGTGCCGTCCTTGAGCTCACCCGACGGGCTCATGCCGTACTTGGGAATCCTACCCATTTCCGTGTAGCCCAGCTTCTTGCACACGGCCTCGGCCGGGCTGTCCGTCTCGGTGTCGAGCAACTATAGGTTCACCAGGGTCAGACGGTCGCAGGGAGAACAAGGGCCAAGAGGACGTACGAGCACGGTGCGGCCAAGCCGGGCGGCGTCGCTCTCGAGGGCAGCCATGAGGGCCCTCGCGCCGCCACGGCCACGGAAGCTCTTGTGTATCAGCAGCTTCTCGACGGTGCCGCGAAATGGCCCCGTCTCGGAGCTCGGCAAGGACAGCATGACGACGCCCATGACCTCGGTGCCCCTGACGGGCCGGGCCGGGCCGTCAACCTCGCCGCTGACGAGGATCCAGATCAGCCGCTTGCCGTCCCTGACCTCTGCGATGCGCTCCTTCCACCAGGCCAGCAGCTTCTCGTGCGACAGCGGCGGGAGAAAGGTGGCAATGGCGCGGTCGTGCGTGATGCACGAGGCGTGGATGGCGGCCAGGTAGGGCGTCAGGTGGGCGTGGGCCTTTGCGCTGAAGGGGAGCACAGTGCCGGAATGCGACATGATGCCCCGGGGGGAAGGGGGGGTGGGTGGAGCGGCGACTGACTGCGACAAAAGACGCCGGCAGTGGCGATGATGACGATGAGGTGTTGCTGCGTGGCGGTTCGGTGGGAAGAGGTTCCGGCTGATGTCGGACAGAGGATGCTTCGGGTATCCCAAGCCAGGGCGGTGCTCCAGCGACAGGCAGCGTCCGTGCAGAATAGCGAATGAGGAGGGCAGAGACTGTTGTCTTTGCTGCGTGAGAGACGTCCTCGGCACAGCACAGAGAGAGGGGGGAACTCAAAGGCTCACCGCAGGCTGTCTGGCCGAATCATCCGGTCGCAGAATCTTGACACGCTGTCTGAGGAAGAAGAAGACGAGGAAGAAGAAGCAGAAGAAGAAGCAGAAGAGGAGGAGAGGAAAGGCAGGACGAGGGGCGTCAGCCGATCATCAACGAGTGCGAGGAAAACGACCGTTTCATCGCCGGGCAGCAGCTGTCGAGCTCTCTCTCGGCCTTTACGTTGGATTGGCGCAGGTTGCGATGGCGGGACGGCGCGGCATGGCGGGCTCCACCCCCTCCCCACCGCGCCTGCTCCACCCACTCACTTCACCCACTCACTTCTCACCCACTCACTTCACCCACTCACTTCACCATCACCCATCATCAATCAACCTCGAGTCGACGCCGGGCTGGAATACATGTATAAATACTTGCCACCCCCATCTCCCCATATCCAGGCCTACATATACCATCCTCGAGACTTCCACCGCCGGAAAGCGTCTCGGGTAAAATCATGGCCCGTCTGCCAGCAGCGTCGGGTGCCGTGTGCACAGCCTTGCATCAGACTCCCTGTCCATTCGAGCACCACCATCGCGACACACACATGCCAGTGCTAGACACCCTTCGCCCACCCTCGGGGGCAGATGAGACCCCCGGCACTCGGGTTCCAATCCCGCCTCTTCATCCTGAACCCGCGACTTCGACTTGAAATGGCACCGGAAACAAACGCCTTTCCTCGCTCCACTCACTCTTTCCAACTCTTGCTGCCCCCGGCCCATCAGTCGGCCTTTTGGTTCCCATTCGCTCCCAGCAACCCTTCCTTGAGCTCCTTGATGCCCATGGTGTCGTCGAGTCGAAAGTTCCCCCCGCGTCTGCGGCTGCGCCCGCGGTACCACGAAAAGACGCCGAAGCCGATGCCAGCGACGCACCCAAGCGACAGGAACGGGTGCTCCGAAAAGGCAACGCGAATGTCAAACAGCATCTTCTCCGGTGCCGACACGGTAAGCTTGTGCTTGATGACATTGGGGCCATAAACAATCTTGTCGAGCGTTTCCATAATCGACGTGCGCGACACGAGTATGTAGTTGCCAGTCACCGTGTTGTCCCAATACCGCCGGTTCTGTGTGCTGTTAGCAAAGGCTGCCCATGCAATGTGCCAGGCCCACTTACGTCTTGGTCGTTGATGATGATGCGCTCTCCGTCTTTGACGTCGATGCCGAACGTGGTGCGGATCCAGCGCTGCCAGTAGACGCCGTCCACCCAGGCAAAGGCCACCTCCTTGCGGCCAGACGAGTCCATGTTGACGCGGATGGCCTTGGCCGCGCGCAGCGCCCTTTGGTCGTTGCGATCTTCCGCCTCTTCGATTCGCATCTGCTTCGAGTCTCGCAGCTTCTTCCTCTCGAGCTGGAATTCCTGTACCTGCCGGTCCATCCACTCGTTGGCTGCACTCTTCATCTCGCGCAGAGAACTCTGGAACGCGTCTTGATCGCCATGGTTGAGCACCCCCAGGACGACAATCTTGCCGTTCATGACTTGGCGCGCGTTCGAGGGCGTCAATTCGGGCACCAGCGGCAGCCAGACCGACTTCATCCAGTCGAGCACCCCGCGCACGTCCCTCATCTCGTCCGGAGTCAGCGGTGGATAGTAGGTGGGACGGCCTTCCCTCGAGACGAGAAGCCTCGGCCACGTGGTAATCTTGAACCGATCGTAGAGCTGTGGATCCTTGGTCTTGACCAGCTTGGCATGGCCAATCATGTTGAGGGGCAGCCTCTCGAGAGCCGCAAAGTCCTCGCTCGTGGTGGCATGATCGTAAAAGTAGACAAAGATGACGTCTTCCTTTTGCTCCAGCGCCTTGAGCGACTCGGCGTCGACGTCTGGGACGCCGCTGGCCAGGTCAACGGCCTTTTCTGCATACTGGACAAAGTCGCCCAGGCCGCGGAGACCCGTGTACTCGGCTCGCTCGCCTCCCTTGAAGAACATGATGGTGGGGAAGGCTTTGACGTTGACACCTTTTTTGCACAGAACAGGCTCCTTGTCGCAGTTGACCTCGGCAATGTTGAGCTTGCCTCGCATCGACTTGGCCAGCTGTTCCCAGGTGGGTGCCATGGCCTGGCAGTGGTGGCACCAAGGAGCATAGAGCTTGATGAACCAGGGCTCCTGCGACATGGTGACGCGCTGCTGGAAGCTCTCGGCGGTGAGGGAAACTGAAACGCCACTGGGGTTGGGCGTGACCCCGAGTTTCTTGGAGACGGTTTCCTTGGACTTGTCGACAGGGGTTGGCTTTTGGCCGTCGCTGCCAGTCTTGTCCGTGTCGGCCCCTTTGCCCTTGTCGGAGGCCTTGTCATCCGAGGGCTTGCTGGCGGTCTCGTCCGAGCCCTTGGGAAGGCCCGAAGGCTCCGGCGTGGTACTCTTGCCATCGCCCTTGGGGGCTGTTGTGTCGCCGGGCTCGGGCAGGGTCAAGCTCTTGGGCCGCGAGCCGGGCTTGGCCTTTTCCAGAGCGAGCTCGATGAGTTTGCTGACCTCCGGCATGACTCTGTTTCCCTTGACTAAGTCAAACTGTTTGCCATTCTCGTAGACGACAGTCGTGGGGAAAGATTTGACTTCATGCTCCTCGCAAAGGTCGGAATAAGCGACGCAGTTGATGGTGGCGAACCGGAAGTCGTAGTACTGCGAAAAGGTAGCCCCGCCGGCGGGCTTCGACGTGTAGTAAAACTCGTACATGGTCTGGTAGGTCGGGGCAAAGTCCATGCAGTGAGGGCAGTAAGGGCTGTTGACGGGTCAACGGGGGCCGGCGGCCAAGGGGCGGCAGGGCGGGCGCATACCTGTAATGCTTGACGGCGAGCCATCTTGTCTTCTTGGACTCTTCGTTCCAGTTGGAGGGCGTGAGCTCAAGCAGAGGGGGCACGGTAATGCCGTCGAAGATCGTATCGTGCGGTTTAGCGTCTTGCTCCTCGGAAGACTGCGCCCAGCCAGGGGCGGCGAGTCCAACGAGGAGGGCGAAGACGTGCAGCCGCATGGCGCGAGAGGATATGGGTGCACCTCGTCGGGCGCAGAGGAGCTCGGGTCAATCGGAGGCAAAGAGGTGCAACAGCCCAGGCGAGGCGGAGAGGGAGGACAAGGCCGGGCAAGGCGAGGGCCAGCGCAGCGTTTCGCAAGAGGCGGGTGGACGTGGCGGCGCCTCGAGCAGGCGGCCGAGTCGAGCCAAGGTTGCTCAGGGCCGGATGGTGCGACGCGGCCTGTATCTATAGACAATAAGGGCTGAAGAGCGTCTCGAGCGGCATAGGATGGAGGACGCCGCAATGGATATGGGGACCGCTGCCTGGCGAGGCTCCGGGTCGTCAGCGGATGCGGATGGGGGGCAAAAGTTAACGACGTGGAATGCAACGAGAGCAAGGGGGCGTGAGAGAGACCAGGAGGGCGAGAGAGCCAGGGGGGACTAAGTTACCCGGTGCAGTGGCAGCGCTGCGCATTGACTTGGGCACGCAGGAAGCCAGCCTGGCGTTTCGCGGGCTACAGTGCTGTAAAACTGGCTTCAGGGCTGCAGGTGCTAAAATTAGGCGCTAGGACGCTGCAGCTTGGCACGGAGCACCAGCCACAGGCACGGCCACAGACCACCTGCGACTGCAGAACACAGCAACGCAGTAATTAGAGGCACATGCCTGCGGACGGTATGCGAGAAACTGAACCATCCAACTCAAACGCCCGTCTCTCCTTTACATGCCCGGGGCGAAACCCGGTGTCTGACTTGTCGCGGCCGCGCATCTACAAACACAAGGTCGCCCAAGGAAGCCACAGCGGCGGCGCCATCAAACCGTTTGATTTTAGCGCGCTCGCATCGTCCCTTCCCCAGCCGATCACCGCAACTCCTTCTACAGAAATGAACCGTGCCACCCGTTAAAGGATGGATGCCAGAGAACACGTGATTAAACAAGCCTCATTCTTCCTCCAACATCCCTGACTTGATTGCCTACCGAGGGGATACGGATTGCACAAGATTACCATCTCATCACGCTCACCCTGGACCCGACCGGCCTGAAGCCGCTCGCCGATGGGAGCTCTTGGGGGCTACTCTCAGGCAGTTTCGACGCCTCAGCATCGCAGTCAGAGACGCCATGCAACGTCCCCTCAAGCGTCAACGGACAGACGGCGCCGCTCCCGACTCTCTGTCGAGACCCATAAGCCCTCCTTCTCACAAACGTCAGCGTGCCTCCGAAAAGAGAGTCTTCAGGTCTCCTTTCCAGCTCACCTGGATTCGTGACCTCCCCCCACATCTCAACCAAGATGCTCTGTCCCTCAAGGATCTCTTGGGTAATCCTCTCATACGCGAATGCTGGCAATTCAACTTTCTTCATGATGTGCCCTTCCTCATGAACGCCTTCGACCCGGACACCAGGCATCTCGTCAAGGTCCACATTGTCCACGGGTTTTGGAAGTCGGATGATCCCCGCAGACTCATGCTCTCGGTAAGCATCGGGCATTCTGTTCTGGTCGGGAACCATCCCGTTGGTACCGTGGGCTGACGCCCGGCAGCAAGAGGCATCCGAGTTCAGCAACGTCCGCCTGCATTCCGCTCCAATGCCCGAGATGTTTGGCACGCACCATTCCAAAATGATGGTTCTCTTCCGTCATGACGGAACGGCGCAAGTCATCATCCACACAGCCAACATGATTGCAAAGGACTGGACTAACATGACAAACGCCGTCTGGCGGTCTCCCCTTTTGCCAAAGCTGGACGAGTCAAGCAGCACCGCATCGGAAGCTTCAGCATTTGCCCCTTTTGGGAGCGGGCATCGGTTCAAATCAGACCTGTTGAGATACCTGAAGTCGTACGACCGTCACAAGCGAATCTGCAAGCCATTGGCGGACGAACTCGCTCAGCACGACTTTTTCAGTGTCAAGGGAGCCTTGGTGGCAAGCGTGCCGGGAAAACACGACATGAATGCCCAACCGGAGGCGGCATGGGGCTGGGCGGCCCTCAAGTCACGCCTCCAATCCATTTCGTGCGACGAGGGCGACTCGGAAATTGTCGTCCAGATATCGTCCATGGCCACTCTCGGTGCAAAGGACGACTGGCTACAAAAGACGCTGTTCGGCTCGCTCGCCGGCGGCGGAAAAGGTACGGCAAAGAGGCCGAGTTTCAAGGTGGTCTTCCCGACGGCTGATGAAGTCGGGCGATCGCTTGACGGCTATGCATCCGGGGGCTCCATCCACACCAAGATTCAATCTCAACAGCAAGCCAAGCAACTCGGCTACCTCGAGCCAATGCTCCATCACTGGGCCAATGACAGCCATGATGGAAGGGGTAAGGTTTTCTTGGCTGTGGCAGCAGATGAGTTGGACGCACCGAAGTCGGCTGACTGTTGACAGAGCTGCCGTCGGGGAGCGGCATTCTAGACGGCGGGCGGCAACGCGCGGCCCCGCACGTGAAGACGTACATACGGTATAACGAGAAGAGGACGATCGATTGGGCCCTGCTCACGTCGGCCAACCTGTCGAGGCAGGCGTGGGGCGAGGCGGGCAAATCGACGGGCGAAATGCGAATAGCGTCGTGGGAGATTGGCGTGTTGGTCTGGCCCGAATTATATGGGCAGGGCAGTGTCATGGTGGGCTCGTTCCAGTCGGACACTCCCGGCAGCGGGCCGGAGACAGGGGCAGGGGGTGGCAGCGCCATCGTGGGCCTCCGCATCCCGTACAGCTTGCCGTTGCAGCGGTACGGTCCGCACGAGGTGCCATGGGTGGCCAGCATGAATCACTCCGAACCCGACTGCCAGGGTCGCATCTGGGAGGTGCAGAGACGGGTCTGAGCATGTGTGATGGGGAAGCGGGAGAGGCACGGCGCCGATGACGGAAGCCTTCGACGGCTGGAGGAGCAGCAACTGGTTTCACGACGGGAAGATAGGAAGACAGTCGGCATCTGTTGGGCGGCAGCCGTTGACTGTCCTGGACACTGTATTCAACGCCCTTGCAAAGGGGGTCAAACACGGCAGGCGGCGCCGGGGGGTGGTGGCACGGCATGAACGTTCCCATGCTTGTTTTGTCAACGACTTGACAACTGGAGGTGACGCAGTGATTGCGAAGCCACGTATATTAACGGACTTTTAATTTACGATACGGCCTGTGGCTGGCTGGCGGGCGGGGGGGAAAGTGTGCGCTTGCCAGGGGGCGTCCCGAGAGAGAGTCGCATCGCGTGTATGCAATGATGATGGTTGTGCATCCAGGACGCACCAGCACCAGCCATCCACGCCAACGGTTCACTCTTTCATTAGTCAGGCAATCAGTTTATCACCGACATAAATCGTGCATTAGCGCAGCACTAGCCGACTCATTAGACATCCTTTCCCTGGCTTTTTCAGGTCCGCCACCGACCGACGTCAACGCTCCTCCTCTCGGCCTCGACGTCCTCGCGGCTTTCTCTCCGCTATCGTCGCCTGTCGAGTGTCCATACCCTCGAGTCCGAGCGGTCCTGCAGCGCGCTCGGATCCTCTCGCCGACTGGGATATCCCCCCCTCTTTTTCTGGTCTTTCCCCCACCCTCGCTGGTGACTCGAAATCTGAACAGAGACACCATCACCGAATACCTCCCTCAAAGGCCGTCCCTGATTGCTTCTGTGAGACACCGCTTCAGCGCCTTGTCGGCTTGCAGATCATCATGGATCGCGGACGACCCATTCTTTCGCCCAAGATTGGCGCCGACAGCAGGTCCAACTCGGGTACCCGTCGAATGTTGTCGAGCTCCCCTCTGGCCGAGCAAGCCCTGGCCGACGACATCGCTGCCTGTTCGGAGGACGGCAACCTCGAGGCCAGCGATGACGAGTTCCTCGACCAGGACCTTCCGCCCATTGGGCACGGCATGTACCGTCGTCCTAGTGGTGTCGCCTACGGTACTTCGCGGCCCGTCTTCAGCCAGCAGATAGACGAGCCCATCCTGACCCCCCTCGAGAGGAAGCAGTCTCGCGATGCCGAGCGGAGCCTGCTCAGGGACAACCGTGTCCTGCCGCCCAAGCACCAGGATCAGGAAATGGGCCGGAGCCTGCGAAGCCGCATCTATCGCCGTCTCTTCAGCACCCGCTTGCCGCCCAGAGACGATGACGAAGGGCCCATTGTCTCGCGTCAGCCAACCGAAAGATCGCCACTTCTCAACGGCGTCCATCCCGACTCGGCGTCGGGCTCGGGAGATGACCTCGAGGAGCAATGGGAGGAGGCCGTGGCCTCGGGCCGTCTCCGCACCACCTGGCAGCGCGAGACCAAGACCGTCGTCGCCTACTCTGCGCCCCTCATTGGCACCTTTTTCCTTCAGTACTCCATCAACGTGGCCAGTATCTTCGCCGTCGGCCGCATTGGCAAGGTTGAGCTGGGCGCCGTATCCTGTGAGTTTCCCGGCCCATGGGCCAAGCCGTTGCTAATCATATACTGCAGTGGCCAACATGTCAGCCGCAGTCTCGTGCTTGGCGCCCTTTCAAGGGCTGGCCACGAGCCTCGACACCCTCTGTGCCCAGGCCTATGGCTCCGGCCACAAGCACCTCGTCGGGCTCCAGTGTCAGCGCATGGCGGCCTTCCTCCTTTGCATATCCGCTCCCGTTGTCGTCCTGTGGCTGTTTTCCGAGCGCATCCTCGTATACATCGTCCCAGACCCGGAAAGCGCGCGTCTGGCCGGACTGTATCTTCGCGTCATGATATTCGCCATCCCGGGCATTATCCTCTTCGAGACGGGCAAGCGCTTCCTCCAGGCCCAGGGCCTGTTCCGGGCCACCACGTACGTCCTCCTCGTCGCGGCGCCCGTCAACATCTTCACCAACTGGCTCCTCGTGTGGAAGCTCGACTGGGGCTTCGTCGGCGCTCCCATTGCCATCGTCATCACCGAGAACCTGCTGCCTGTGCTCCTCGTGCTGTACGTCCGGCTCTTTGGCGGCTCTCAGTGCTGGGGAGGGTTCAGCAAGCGTGCCTTTGCCAATTGGTGGGTCATGATTCGGCTGGCACTGCCCGGCATGATCATGGTCGAGGCCGAATGGCTCGCCTTTGAGGTCATGACTCTTCTCGCCAGCCGCTTCGGCACCGAGTATCTCGCGGCTCAGAGCGTCTTGGCCACGCTTTCCACCATCTCCTACCAGATCCCTTTCCCCGTGTCCATTGCCGCGTCGACGAGGATAGCAAATCTCATTGGCGCCGGCATGGTCGACGCTGCCAAGACGACAGCCAGAGTGGTACGTGTGGATCCTGTGTCACCTTGTTGTGATACCTGCTGACTGATGGGCCTGCTTAGACGGTCGCGGCAGTCTGCATCCTCGGCCTGCTTAACCTGACCATCTTCAGCACGCTGCGGTTCTACCTGCCCCTTCTTTTCACCAATGACCAGGGCGTCATCGAGCTGGTCGCGCAGGTGCTACCTCTGGTCGCCGTCATGCAGGTCTTGGACGGGCTCAGCGCCGGGGCCCACGGGCTGCTGCGTGGTATCGGCAAGCAGTCCATCGGCGGGCCGGCCAACCTCATTTCCTACTACGTCATCTCGCTGCCCATTTCACTCGCCCTGGCCTTTGCCGCCGATTGGAAGCTCGAGGGCATGTGGGCCGGTGTGACGGTTGGATTGATTGTGTAAGTCGAGTCGGATCCTGGGAACTGAAACCAAGCTGACCATGGCTTCCCGACGCAGCGTCTCGATCATCGAGTACACTTACCTACTCCGCACGGACTGGCACAAGGCGGCCGCGGAAGCAGCAGCCAGAAATGCCGCGGGGTAGGATTGTGCTCTCATCGACTCGGTTTTGTTCTCTTTTTTGCACCGGCACAAGCAGGCGTTTGCGCGAGTCGTCTTCCTTCTCGGCGTATACCCCAGCGACGGACGCAAGCAGTACTATTTATTTTTCGGTTTTACTCATTTTCCTTTTCCATCCCTTGCAGCGGTGGTTGGTTGAGCCGCCGGGCGAGCGTCTTTGGCATGCTTTCGAGGCTGTCAGTCTGGAGGATTAGGTGGAGGTGGCGAGGCACGCGGCACTCTCTTTACATGCAAGGCTTGGGTAGGTGGGGAAAAGATTGGAACAGGCAAGGAGGGGAAGTCTTGTCCGAAGATGAGGAGTTCACCAGAGGCTGGGCTGAGCATATAACATAGCAGTCAATGTATGAGTAGTAGTAGCCCGAGGCACATTAGGGATTGGTGAACATGGTCCCGTGGTTGGACTATCGCGTTTCCCCCTTGCTCTTTCATTTCCTTCTGTCTGCCCCTGTCTCTGCGCTATCATACATGAGCTCCGCGGGCCCGACTCTTCTACTTCCCCGGCGTGACGGGCGCTTCTCAGGCTCTGCTTCCCACGCCCCCTCCAAACTCCATGGCACGGCTCTCGGCGGGCGAAAAAAAGGGGGATAAAATAAAAAATCCAACGCGAGGAATAGATTCTAAGATGAAAAGAGAGAGAAGACAAGAAAGAGAGCGCTTCTGGGGCCGACGAGCAACCGCTTCCCGCCTCCCCCCGGCTGTCGTGATGCCGCGTCAACTAAGCATGGAATGCGTGCGGATGGCCTTGGGCCCAAGCTCGCTACACCCGTCCGTTAGTCGTCGCCGCGCTTGAGGACGAAGAGAGAGGGATGGGGGAGAAGGCAGGAAAGGGGGGGGTTGCTCACTTGTAGTCGACCCTGCTGAGGCTCATGAGGCGCTGGGCCTCGACGCCCTGGGCGTCCATGTTGGAGTGTATGCAGAAGGCGATGCGGGCGGCGACCTGGGCGCCGAGGAACATGGCCTCCTCGAAGCCGTTCTTGCTCCACTCGCTCAGGTACGTGGGCAGGGCGGCCGTCTTGATGCTCGTCGGCGTCTGGCTGTGGAAGTGGTGCGACGGCTGGAGGCCGGCGGCGGGGCCGGCGGCGTCGGACCCGGCGGCCGGGGTGGTGGCGATGCCGGCGGCGGCGGCGGCGGCAGCGCCACCGAGCCCGGCGCCGCCGACGGCCGCGAGGGTGCTGGCCGTGGTGGCCGCCTGCAGGAGCGGGTTGACGCCGCTCGAGGGCAGCTGGTGCGGCATGCCGGTGAAGGACCCCGTGGGGGTCTGCGAGCCGGTGCCCGAGGGCGTGGCCATGTTGGACGGCAGCTCCGACGTGAACATGGTGGCCGTCGAGGGCGAGATGATGTGCCGCGCCTGCAGCGTCTGCAGGATGTTCTCGCGCAGCCCGCGCAGCCGCGCGCCGTTGCCCACGAAGACGAGGTTGTCCCAGCACGCCGGCCGCATGTACATGTCGTCGATGCCCTGGATGGTGCGGTAGATGGTCGCGACGATGCGGTCGATCTCGGCGCGCTCGGCAAACGTGAAGCGCTCCAGCCCGACCTCGACGTCGCGCCGGATGCGCTTGGGCCTCGTCTCCGGCGTGTCCTTGGCCGTGGCGCTGCTCGGCTCCGGTCGCGGCTGTTCCGTCGTTGCGCCGTTGGCCCCCGCCGGCGTCTCGTCTGCAGGCTTCGCCGGGGGCGCCGCCTCTCCTCCATTCGTTGCCGCGGCGCCATCTGCCGCCGGAGCGCCACCGGTCACGGCCACGCCGTTCTGCGATGGCGGTTGCTCTCCGGCCGGTTTCTCCGCCGCACCCGGCTTCGGCTCGCGGGGCACCTCTTCCTGGATCACCTCCTCGAAGAAAAAGGTGTTGTGAGTCCTCTTGCAGTTGGGCAGCCTCGCGAGCTTGGCGGCCCCGGTCTCGCCCTCCTTGTCCTTGGCCTTGCGCCCCGGCTTGCCCTTTTCCTTTTCCTTCTTGGCGAGGAACTCCTTAGTCTGCCCGCTCGTGACAATGGCGGCGACATCCAGCACGCCGTCCTCGTCCCCGTTGTTCCCCGCGTTCTCGCCGTCGTCATCTCGGCTCACCTCGGGGGGTTTGGGCGCCTCGCCCGCGGCGGCGGCCTCTGCCCCTGGTGTGGTCGCAGGCACCGCCAGAGCTGGCGGAGCCCCTGCCGTGTCTTCCCTGGGCAGCTCTGCCAGGGCCGTCTCCGCCGGGGCGTACGGCAGCACCTCGCAGATGGCGCTCCTCTTGAGCTGCTCTGCCATGTCATGGTTGAAGCCCTTTGCCTCGAGCAGCTTGAGCAGCCTCTGCGTGAAGACTTGGCCACCGCTTATATGCCTGTCGGGGTTGGGCGAGCCCAGGTCCATGTGATTGACGACGCGACCGTCGTGAATGGCCGTGACGTCGACCTTTTCGTAGCCAATGTCGACGACGGTCATGCTGGGCCACCTGAGGCCGTACTGGGTGGCGATGCCGCTGTGGATCAGGCACAGGGCCGGCGTGCGCGTCTTCTCGAAGATGTATTGCGCAATGGTCTCGCAGTCCGGGCGGGTCCACTGGGGTGAGGCCATGAGCATGATGGGGGTGTTGTGGTAGGTCGAGGCCAGCATGCCGTGGACGTGGTCGAGGAAGGCGAGGAAGGAGTCCATGTGAACAATGCGGCCGCCTGGATACATGGTCAGCATACACGTCGCGAGGGTCGACCGAGCGGCACGCACCCTCGATGGGAAAGACGGCGCCCTCGTCCGAGTCAACGTCCTCGACCCATTCCACCTGCTCGACGCCGCCGACGAGTCTGGAGCGCTTGTAGGTGTGATAGGGCCGCCACTCGTCGCCATCGCGGAACATGCGCGTGGGCAGACGGTGCAAGGGCGGCGTCAGCTCGCTGCACCCGAGCTGCGCCATGGTGGTGCGGCTGCCGGGGCAGATGATGAGAATCTGCTCCTCGCGCCATTTGGCCGCCGAGCTCGCCATGCCGGCCAGCCGTGCGAGTCCGTTTGCCCTGCCGCCGTCGTGGGAGCGAGTGCCGAGAACGTGGTCGTCGCTGGCCAGGGACACCGGGTTGCTGCTGCTGCGGTTGCTGCTCCTGTTGACGATGCGCTGGCTGCGGCGTCGCGACGGTGTGGCAGACGGCGGCGATGCGGAGCACCAGTCTTTGCGCTCCTGGCCGCGAGGCGTCTGGCCGCGAGGCGTCAGCCGCGCTTCTGTGGCGGATGCCCTTGGAACTGGTGTGGCGGTGCCGCCCGCCCTCGGCGCCAGCCGCACGTGACCATTTCTCTGTGGCATCCTCTTGGCGGCGCTTGGCGGCGCTTGGCGGCGACGACGATGCGGGCGCCGTCGTGAAACAGAGTCTCTGGTCCTGAGCAGATCGACAGGGGCGCGGCCGAAGTGCTCTTTTCAGGCATATCGGACTCGACGCATGGAGAGAGGGGAGAAAAGGGCCCGTTGGCAAGCCTGCCAGCGAGTTCAAACAAAATCCTCCCCGTTCAATGAACAGCTGCCCTCGCCCCGGCAACGCGCACCTCGACGACCGCCGTTGCATACACGGAATCTGGGGCAGCCAAGTCACCACTGACCAAGTAAGCATGTCCCTCCGGAAAGGCCCAATACGCACTTGTTCCATATAGTCGACTCGTGATAAAGCATGTCTAGTTCTACTGCGTTGACATGTAAGTAGATTTATATACCAAGCATTGCGAATATGTAGCACAGAAGCTTTGCCGCCGGCTCCTTGTCGTGAGCCAAGTCTTTCTTTGCCTCGGTGAAATGGCCGCCACCGAGGCATCGCGAGCCCTTTGCAAACTCATATCCCAAGCGCTTCCAGTACCCTCTGCGCGCCATACCCCCCGCGGCTGCTTCCACCCCATCGTCATGCGCCAGAGTCCCTCAATGGCGACCTCATCCGCCCGCTGGATTGAGCGGGCTGCCAACTCCAAAATGTATCTTTCCAGATTTCCAAACGCCCGTTTCCTCCCAAAGCAGCCCATCCCCGTACTCAAGAATCCCATATTTTACAGCGCCTGCCCCCCAAGGTATTGACATGAAAGTAAACGGCCTTATCCGAGGACGGTTAAGAATTAGAAATCCATAGTTTCGTGGCAAATCATCCACCCGAGTCGTGCTTTCGCTCTAGGTGTAGCAAGTCATCATGTCGTCGTCGATAGCGCGTGAGCCGTCGGGACAGCCTCAAGAACTGTCTTCTCGGGTCCGCTCATCAACTTTTGCGCCGCCGCATGCGCCTCCGCTTCCTCCTCCTTCATCGATTTTGTAGGCCTGTCTCCCTCCGTCTCACCGACCAACAGGGAAAACCGCCGTTCCGAGGTGGGTGTCGTGACAGACGATCCGTCGCAGCTCCAGCGATCTTCTGTCGCCCCCGTATAAATGGACGAGGTGTGCTTCTCATGAGTGGTCGAGTCCGAGTTGTCCGTTTGCTCGTGCCCGCTCCCATCTCGGACCGCATCCTCGTCTGTCTCGTCCGTTGCAAACTTGTCCAGGGCCGCCTCGGGAGAGTTGGCTTCATCGAACTTGCAGCCATCCTCTCGGGCTTGTGTCATCTCAGTCTTTCCGTCCTGGCGTTCCGCAGAGCCAGGCACTTTGATTGTCAGCTGGGTTTCAAGAGATCCCCTCTCTTGCTCCGCATCCGCGAGCTCCCCGTCCTCTTCCCCAGAAGCCTTCTCCGCCTGGTCTTGCCCAGCAACAGCAGCGTCCATGGTTGAGTTAATGGAGACGCGCGTCTTAGACGGGGTCATGTCGGCCTCGGGTTCCTGGGAAACGGCTTGGTCGACCGTGTCCGTACCGGTCTTATCCGTACCGATCTCGTGCTCCGCAACACTGCCTTCTTCAATCTCTTCTGTTTTCAGGTCCACAGAAGTGACTTGGTCATCACCATTTTCCACATTCCCATCTGCGCCCCCCAAGGACCGTCGCAGCGGGATTGCGACGCTGGACACCTTGGCCTCGATCTCGGCCTTGTCCGATCGCGAGTTCCTGGCCGGGCTCCTCTTCGGAAGCGGCGGAGGAAGCCTTTTTTGAATCGTGACCACGTTGCCTCGCGCCTGAATGACCCGCGATGCAATTGCGCGTGTGCTGGTCTGCTGCACCGCCGCCACTTCGATTACGACTGGCTCCTCGGCGTCTTCGTCGTCCAAGTCATCTTCATCATCCGCGTCGTTGGTTTCCTCCTCCTCTCCGTTCTTGGTGTAGACACTGGAAGCCTGCGACGCCTGGTCTGCGTCGAAATGGTTGGGCACGGGCAGAGCCAGATACGGCTCGGGAACTGACGTTGGAGAGCCGGCGGCGAGAACGGCGCCAATCGAATGTTCTTGACTGAGGCTGCGAAGGGGGGGCAGGTCGACCTGGGTGTAGTCAACCTCTTCGTCCTCCTTGACCTCGGGCATACGGTCGATTGAGGCTCGGCCCTGGCCATCGTCGCTCTGGCCCGGGCTGGGCGTCGTCTCGGGGGTGTTGACGGCATCGGTCCGAGTGCAGGCATCCGTGGCCTGGCTCTTGACGGTCCGAGAGGACATGATGCTGGCTCGGTTGCTCCTCGTCGCATACGTCTCGATGCTCTGTCGACTAAACTTGGACATGGAGGGGCTCAGCGGGACGGAACTGTGTTCAAGCTGACTGCTGGTCGGCCTCAGACGAGTTCCGGCCTCGCGGATTTCGAGGCCGGCCATTTCCAGGGCCAAGACGCCGAACGGATCCGGATCGTCGGCTTTGGGAATGCCAAATGACGGACGGGGAGAGCCACACGTCGATTTGGGAGTGGCAATTACGGCGTCTCCGGGCGCCGACTGGAAGGCAATGTTGCCGATGACGGCCGAGTCAAAGTCGGTCCTCCCCTCGGCCATCTTGATGACCTCGAACAGGGGCTTGGCCTCGTCCACATGGCGCCCCACATTTCCGGCCAGAATGTCCATCTGGGTCGAGTTGCTCTCGTAGAAGCGTTCATTCTCGTTGGCTCGCTCGGCTAGGATGCAGCCATGCAGGTTGACGGCTTGGTGTTGGCCGCGTGCCTTCATGTAGGCGAGGACGGTGTTGCCGAGCTCGCGCCAGTTGATGTGCAGCTCGTCCGAGTCCAGCAGGACGGACGGCCCGTTGGTCAGGCCGACATCCTCGCCCAGGGTGACTCGGGGGCGCGTGATGGACTCGAGGGCGGCAAGGTTGTTGATGACGAGGACGCAGTCGTAGACGTCGACGCCAATGATGAAGCTGAGGGTGGGCGTGTGCAGCATGATGCCCGAGGGAGGTGACCAGGTGCCGTCCGACTTTCTCGCAATAAGGATGCCGGAGCCTCCGGAACCCGTCATCCATAAGCCGCTCCTCATGCAGGAGAAGACGGCGATGCCCGCGGCGTTCTGAATGATGCGTTTTGGGATTTTCCTGGGGGCCTGTGCCGGGGAGCCAGGGGAGTCTGCTGCGGACGACGTGGATGATGTAGCCGGGGCGTCGTCGGGCACGAGGTAGCCATCGGCTGGGGTTACCGAATGTCAGCACGAGACGGGGGAAGGGGAGCAGGGTGCGATATGGGCGGGCGTACTGCAAAAGGACTTGAGGATGCGAGCGGCCTTGTCGCACTCGACGTCGAGCGAAGCAGGCCAGTAGGCCTCACGGTGGACGCGATGGCCATTTGCAGCGGCGATGTTGATCCTGGAGGGGAGCTTTGGGGCGTGGTTGTTTCGATGTGTCCAGCCGAAGAAGCCGGTGGGCTTGTTGCTGGCGCCCGAATTCCTCTTGTCCCAAGACGGCAGGAAAGCAGAGACGCGCTGCATCGTGGCCGGCGAGCGCCTCTCTGCCGTGGCCGGTGTGGCCAGGCGAAATGGTGTACGAGGGGGCGAGAGGCGGGGTCGGCGAGTCGAGGCCGCGAGCCACGGGGGGTTGAAGTTGGGCTCGATGGCGAAGGAAGGCGAAGTGATGATGTTTATGATGGATGGGACGGGCGGATAGCGGTGGAGCGGGCGAAATGAGAGAAGTCGAGGGGTGGGCGTCTGTCGCTGACGGCAAGGCGCTAGCTAAAAAGGTAGCTCGTACCGTGCTGGAGAGTTTATCAGGTAGGCGGAAACCTGGCAGAGGGCAGCGGGAGCTGTCTTGGCTGCATGCCTTGCCGGCGGTACATCGTTGACGCCTCCTTTGTTGGAGGTGAAAGGGTACAGTAGGAAGGTAGGCTGGTGCAAGATTGAGCTCGTCTCGAGGTAACTTTTACATACAACACAGAGGAGTGCTGGCGGTCGGTGCAGAGCGATGACCCTGGCGCGCATCCATGGACATGGTATGTATGTTCCTTGACCTACAGTGGGTAAGGTACCTACCTAGGTAGCCGGCTGCCTAGGAAGGCTGGCTCCAGGCAGTCAGTCAGTCAGTGGCTGCTGCTGGCTGGGACGACAACAAACCCAAGCAAGTCACCAACAAACACGAAAATTCAGGGGCGGGCCCGGCCAGTGAGTGACGTGGGCACACGGGTAGCGGGCGATCTGGTCCAAGCAGCAGGGAGCAGTGCCAAGAGCGCGTGCAGGGGTCCGGCCGTTGGCGCCATGAATGAGGGCGGTCCCTGCGCAGGGCTTCGGTGTTGGGACGGTCCTGTAGAGAGAGAGAGGCTGGCTGGCATCGGCCGATGGGCTATACTTGGAGCCTCGATCGAGCACAGTCAGTATCCGTAGCACCCAGTCCTCCAGGCAGCCTCTGAAGAATCCCGTGCGCATCTCCCTCCGAGTCAAACGACGAGGCAATCAAAGGCCAGAATGCGGGGGCCCAAGCAGCCACCGGCCGGCCCACTGCAACAAAGTCGCGCCCAAAGACAAAAAGAAAAGAAAAGTGGCCGCATGTGGTGCTTATGCATGCACCAGTGAGTCCTCCTGATGGGGAACAAGTGTGGCGGCGGGGCGGGTACCTGCCGGCCAGCGCTAGACGGACGCTAAGAGACAGGCCTCGGATGGACAAAGAACCAAGAGGCCAGGAATGAAGGGGAGTGTGGCTTAGCGAGTCGCTGCATGTTTCTCATCACCAGGAATCACGTACAGTACGGATACAGTCCTCCAGGCCTTTTCTTTGTATCATTGGAGTGGGACTTGGTAGACAAAGGCAGCTCCGGCACGTTACTGCATCGACACCTGCCGAGGGTCGGTCATCAACGCCTCGGGAATGCACGAGATGCAAAAGACATCAAAGGTAGTGCTGAACTGTACAGTGCAGTACCTACGTTATTCATGTTCTGCGACTCGATACTGCTCACGCATGTATCCGTAGTACCTAATGTACTGTAATAATTACTGGACGTCGCTGACAAGGCAAGCAGCCGCCGCCGTGCTTGACACTCGCTCATTCTCATCATCACCAACACCGCACTCCCAAACCGCCCAGGCTTGCAGGCGTTGTTGGCCGCCTCTGAAGCTCCCAAGTTGCCATGGCCAAGACGTGTTGGCCGCCATCTTCATCTAGAATCTCGCATCTCACATGTCTCTTCGTCTTCCCGCGTACGCTCGCGGCGCCACCCGCCGTCGTTGCGAGCCGGCCCCGTCCTGACGGCTGCATCCGCCGCCGCCCCAGTACGAACGGATATCGACATGAAATGCTTGCGACGGCGGGTGCGAATCGTGCACTGTACTGTACATGCAGTACGCCGTTGTGTCACTCGCCCGAGGGTTGCAAAAACTATAAAAAGCAAACCGGGCCTGCAAAGGAACCTCTCTTTTTATTCGCATTCCTGAGCATTCGCTTCCGGACAGGCGGGCTCTTGGCGTCAGGCTCAAGACATGTAGGGCCCTCGTAATGGCGAAATTTATTTACTTCTATTCCTGGACGCGACGAGAACCGACGCTCCCAGGTTTATCCCGCAAGGCCCTCCCTGCAGAACACCCCCCATATCTGGTGCCTGGTTATTACATCAGACGACTAGCATGCCGGACGTCGACGGATGAGGCAGACCTGCTAATTACATGCACCGCTACGTTATTGACGACGACGTATGGATGCCACAGCAGAAGCTCGCTTCGCGCCTTCTCAAAGGCCCTGCCGCCATGATGTGTCCCTGGTGTCCCTGGTGATTTTTACCCAAGGGCTCGGCACGGCACTTACAACCGTGGCATTAGAGGCATGCCATTACCTCGACCTCGCCGGCGCGTCCCACCCAAAAAGCAACCCAGCCCATCTGCTTCCCCGGTTGCTTGTCACTTGTGTGGATTCATCACGAGGGAGGGACAGGAAAAAAAAAGGAAAAAAGGGGAGAGCCTCGATCCGATCCCAGACCCGCACCTCATCTCTCGTCTCTCCCTCTGCGCCACATGCGCGTCTTGCCCTTTTCACACGTGTTAATTATCGTCCATCTCTTTTTCCTCCGGCGCCGAAACCCCTGTGGATACAGTGCAGTCCAGCGCTGCTCCGGCTGTAACTTACAGCGCGTCCCTCGGCTAACAACAAAGTGCCTTATCAAGCAACGTCGACCGCACTGACCCTCTTTCTTCTCCGCTCCGGTGCTGGAGAACCCTGCTCCCTGACCTCTTTCTTTCTTTTTGCTGCTTCAGCCTCTTTCTCCATCTTGATCCTTTCTTTTTTCCCCCTGCTTTCCGCTCCCCCCTCCTTGCGGGATATCCAGTACTCCGTACTAGGCCCCGGCTTCTTTCGCTCGGCCCTGCTTTCCGACCGACCGCCCCGACGCCCGCGATCTCTGGTCTAGCCGCCCCCCCCCTCGCTCGGAGTTTTCTTTCCTTGCTTCACCATCGGAGACAGAAGAAACTAAGGGTCCCCTCGGTCGAGCCACTCCCGTCGCCCCATCTACCGCCGTGGCTGGCCTTTGGCGGCATCTCAGATACGCGGGCCGGCCCCGTCTGATAGCCGAGCCAGGCTCTCGCCTTGAAGAGTCATCGTGCTCAAAGCCCCCAAGACAAAAGAACCTCAGCCCGCCAGGGGTCCTCAGCTGCCTCCCGGCTCTTATCGGCATCTTGCGCATTCTGTCCTCGTCCAACGTGACATGTGTCGTCGCAATCTCCGCCGTCTCAGCAAAAAGGCTCACATCACCAACGGTTCACGTGAATCAAGATGCCATCTGCGCTCATCGTCATCAAATCTCAACACGCCCCATTTACCGACGGCCGCTGCACTTCCCGTGACGTCTGCTCAGCCCTCCCGGATTCAAGAGTCCGCTTCATCCGCAACCGCGACGCTGTCTCCCAGCTCCATCTGTTCCTACCCAAAAGGGGGCATCGGGCCCTTGAAGCGTACACGACGCTCAGCCACGTGACGAAGCCTACCGCCCATATCCATATCTCCCCGTCCACATCCGGCTGGTAAAGATGCTTTAGAATCTCGTAGACATGAAGATAAATCGTAGTGATAGAATGCGCAAAGTCTGGTCCTTCTCTCCCTCCCATTACCAAAGGCCCTGGGCGAGAGAGGGAGAGCAAAACGTGAGAAAGAGAAAAGCTGTCGTTACACAGCTTTATCCGTTGTGTTGCCTGGGATAAGCCAAAGGTAACGGATACCTTTCCAGTCCCATTGAGTGACTACCGGACGGGCCGGAGAGACGGACGGGCTTTCCCTCTCCCGCCAATAATCTCGGGCTCCGGCGCAGCGGCACCTATGGTCTCCGGCCGCCCCCACGCCCCCCCTCTCCGGGGACCCACACACCGAAATCCCCTTGAGCCTCAACTCAAATTTCACATCCACCACGCCACCACCACACATTATCATCACGCCCCTTTCCTTCACGTCCGAAAGCCTGAACACACCACATCTCGAATGCTTTCTCTCCCCCCTCCGCTTCCGCCGTAGACGTGGCCAATGCACGTCGATATTGCGCTGGACAAGAACAAAAGAAGCCCAAGTCAAGCTCCCCTGTCCCTTCCCTCTCACAGCCATGTTGAGGTAAGTCTCAACCCCCCCCCCCCTCAACCGTCTCCTTCTGAGTAGGCGCTGACTGCTTCCGCCCCCCTTTTCCCAGTACCTTCAAAAACCTCTCCCCCAAGCTCCGCCTCGGCGTCGGCGTCGGCGTCATCGCCTGGGGCCTGGCCGGCCTCTACCTCTCTGACCGCGCCGAGGAGAAATTCGGCCTCACCCCGTCCGACCAGGACAAGGAGCTGCTACGCAAGTGGACACCGCGAGTCATAGCAGTTGACAAGCCAGACGGCAAATAGCACCGTTCCTCATAGTCGCTTCAGGGGGCCTTGTCCTCGCCTCAAGCCACGCCTCTAGCAACCTACTGTCAAGTCATTGGGGCGCCGCGTCGGCAAAAGCCCGTGGTCCAATCAGCCATCGCTACAACTTGACTTTATTCACTTTTCCTCTTCGTCAACTGCCCGTTTTCATCATCCTGCCGTGAAGCTTGCCACCACCAGTCCATTCAAGCCCAAATACATACAGCGCAACGCGACAAAGTCATTGATCAGTCCAGGCCAGCAAGTCGTCATGGCCCACCGCGAAACCACAGCAGCCGACCGACCGTCCCTTCTATCTTGATCGAAAGTCTAATAATGCACACTCAACTCCCCTCACCTTGTCTATCCCTTTTTGGAAATTTATTGCAGAGCTGGGCCGCCAATGTCGATGTCCCGCGTAGCTTGGCCAGTCGGGCGTCATGAGCCGAGTCAACCCCCGGGCCGTCCTTTGTCGTCCAAACCGCAATGGGTCCTCGACAGCCAGGCAAAAGAAAACTGAAAAACAAAACACGAACAAAATCTCAACGCCACCAGATGCAACCTCCTCCCCTGAATGCTCCTTGTCGATCATAAAATGTCGCCTTCGAATCTCTGGTGTTGATGTTGAGGGTAGATGCGGCTCCAATCTCATGCCCGCCCCTCGAGAGAAACAGTGGTGAATACACCGCCAATAAAACGTCCAATCTTCAATGCCATGCTGCCCCGTATGCTCTCAAATCGTTTCGATCACTCCCCTTTCGAACTTTTTCAAGGCGGCCAAGCTAGGCCAGACGGAAGACGTGCGCAACGCATATTCCGGGTCGAATTTAGTCGCTCGGTTGTCTTGCGCAAGTTGCCCAGCTTTGATAGCCCGCCATGTTGACCCAGCAACCCACACATCTGCAGATCCGGTGTGATGGATCCGACACTCGAGAACCGCAAGCCGCAGAAGCCATGGGGCATTGTCCAAGTCGGTATCCCATTCCCAACATAAAACACACTCCATGCAGCTTAGTGGTAGGGAGTAGATCTGACCAGGCGCAACTGCCTCTCGCGCGACAAGTACTGGTGGCGCCTGTCGTGCAATTTGGGAGTAGCTGTCTCGCCCCTTTGGTGTTGCCGCCCGGACTCATCCTTGATGCGAAATACGCTCCACGGCTGCTTGGAGTCCCTTGGGCAGTGCAATTCTGTCCACCGCATTCTGGTTCCCGAGCGATTGCGAGCAGATGACACTTTGAGCAAAGGACTAGAGCGCGCCTCCACTCGAGAAACGTTGCGACAGAGCAGGGCCGTCGTGCATGGTTGTGCAGGGTTTCGTGGATCCGCCACCAAAGACAGACACGGGGTTGTAACGGTGAGGTGTGGGTCCATCGACTCGATATGGGTGGATAAAGAAAAATTAAGGATTTAGTAGAAAGAGCTGGCTTGGAGGATTCTCGGCATTCGACGGCTTGCCCCACTTGGAGCCGATGACGGGATCTCGGGGTCGGCGATCCGCCATCATTCCCGTCGAGGTATTAGGCTCGGTTTTGGTTCCGATCTGCTTCTGTCCATGATTAGGAGGGTGATGCCATCAGTATTTGGAGAGGAGATTGATGCGCACCCTGGAACATCTGAGACCAGTCAAGGCCGGGTTGTTGGCTGGGGTTGGAACCAGCATACATGGGCATCCCATTCTGTCCCGGAGGCATGCTGTAACTCGGCATCTGCTGATTGTGCATCGAATTCGGGACCTCACCGCCGTAGGGCTGCGAGGTTCCCATGGCAGGCATGTTCCTTCGATCCTGATTGCCGCCGTTCTCCATCCTGTTCATGCTGTTTGACCGAGAGAGCTGGCTCTGGTCACCGGGCATATTGTTCATCCCGTCCGAGACGGGCACCATGCCGAAAGGGTGCACCATGCCGTCCCCGGGCATGTTGTTCAAGCCATTGAGATGGTTCATGTCGCCCTCGTTGAGGCCAGCCGCCTTCTGGGCCTGGGCGTTCTTCTTAACGTGGGCTTGAGGGTGGGACAAGTGGCTGGCTCCGGTGGGATTTCCCCGGCGGATCGAGCACTTCTGGAAGTGACGCTTCAAGATGTCACTTCGCGAAAACGTATCACGGCAAAGTACACACATGTAGGGACGATCGCCCGTGTCTGCAGGAGTTTGTCAGCGTAAACAGCACGCGGGAGGGCGTGGATCGTCACTCACGTCGGAGCAGATGGCGCTTGAGGTGCTTGGCGTGGAGATAGGTCTTTGTGCAGTGAGGGCAGGGGAACTTCCCATCCGCATCCTTGACCGGGATGACGGTGCTCTTGGCCGCGCCTGTACCGGCTGCAGGGGCAGCAGGACGTCCGGGGGCGCTGGGAAGGATGCCTCTGCGGCCCTGCGAGCCGACAACATGCGTAGGCTGATCGCCCTCCTGCATGACCGGATTTGGCTGCATCATGGAGCCGGGTCCGTAGGGCGAAGAGACGCCGGGCTGCGGCATGATGCCGCCAGGAGGCATCGGGCGCAAAATGGGGGGGCCACGACCGCCAGCGGGAGCGGGGGCAATCGGCTGGGGATGCGCGGCGGCCGTGGTGGACTGCGGCATCATGGCGGCCGAGGTGCCGTAGCCATGGTGGGGAGGGTACGGGTTTTGGGCCATCGAGTAGACGCCTGGCCTCGAGGCGGGCTGCGACGTGTTCTGGTAGCTAGGCAGATTGTTGGTCGTCGAGTTTGGCGTGTTTGGCGTTCCCGGAGTTCGCGGCGTATGCGGGTGGCTGCCGTACATGGGCTGCATGGCCGAGGTTGGAGGCTGCAGAGGTGGGAGCGTCTGCGGCAGCGGTGAGCCCGAGTGAAGTTGGTTCGGAGACAGGGCCGTAGGCGACGGGTATGACTGTGACGCAGATGTCGCGTTTATACCATTGGAAGGATATTGGGAACCGTCCATAGTAGTGCGCGAGACGCGTCGTGAAGCGGGCAAGGCGGGCGTCGGGCGACAGAGGTGAGGGCGAGGCGAACTGGCGACGGCTCGAGCGGTCGATAATGACTTGGATCTTGGACGACGGGATGAAATCGGGACCCCAAGATGGATGCAAAAAAGATGGAGAGTCGCGAGCAACGGCTGCAAGGCCCACGCGACGATGCGAGAAGGCGTTCCGGGGAGGTGGATGAGGTGGCTCAAAGCAGGTCCCTCTGGAAGGTGTGGTAGTTGGGGGATGGTTCCAGAGTGGAGACCGGGTCTCGATCCTTTTTTATTTTTTTTCCTTCCCTTGGGGGGCTCTCTATAATTTTTTTTCTCAGGGTGGAGGGGGGAGGAGGGGGGGTCGGCGACTGTCAGGTACAACCGCGCGCGCAAGGCCAAACCCAGTGGGAAATGTGGGTGGAGATTCAAGGTCCGAGGTGGTGAAAGAGCCCTTTGGCGATGACCCAGATGAAGGTACTTGTATCGCGCGCGTGTGTGTGTTCGATGGTGGATGCAGCGGCAGAAGCGGGACCGTTTTTTTTCTGATGCCTGTTCGATGATGGCAAGTGGGCCCTTGCCAGAGACCGCAAGCAGAAAAAGGTGGTACTGGGATCCAGTAAAAAGACGAGACCGAAGCCGATTTTTTCCTCGCCTGGGGCTCCTGTTTCCGTGTTTGCACTGGCAAATGGCGCGCGCATGCAGAATCCACGCGGGTCGGACGTGAGGCTGTTGCGGCGGCGCAGGGCTCTTGTTGCAACGGGATGGCAGAGGGAATGCTTTGCCGGGGAGGATGGAGGAAGAGGAAGTGAAAGAGGGAGAGAGAGGGAAAAAGAGAAAGTGAGAGGTCGGAAACCAGCGGACCAGTTACGAGGTGAGGTGAGGGCAAAGGGTGTGTGCGATGTACCTCGTGCGGGGAGTGGCTGCAGTAGGTACCAGGACCGCCGGCCTTGGGCAAGTAAACGCGCCCCAGGAGGCGTGTAGCGGCGACATTTAGCGTTTGCGCGTTGCTGCCTGCCTGCCTGCCCGCCTGCCACCCGGGTACCTGGAAGTACCTTTCTCTTCCTTGGCGCGCCCTGCTGAGGGGAGAGGGAAGAACGCAAAGGGAAAGAGATGGCAGCTCTCCTGCTAGCCATGATTATCATCATGCGCACTCCCTCGGTGCTATGCCGTAGGGAAAAGAAACCATCGTGGACGAGGTTGATGCCGGATACGGACCAACACACCCTTCCTTGCCTTGTCTCGTTGCGTCTCGCCGGCTGCAGCTCGTGTGTGCGAGAATAACGTACTGCACAGTACAGTGTGCACGCACGCACCCGGCACACATGCAGGCCAGATCCCTCGCCATGCTCGCGCATCAGCAAGCAAGCACAGCACGCATCGCACACTTAGTCGTGGCATTACTCACTTTCAGCACGCCCTTGATTTGGCTGCTTGGCTCTGTCGTTCTCGCCTCTCCGCAAATCAAACTCTCCATAGCGTGTGGTTTGAATCGAGTTTTATGGCCCGTTTATTAGTTTCATGGGCCCGAGGGCTATTTTTCAACCCTGCCTGAATAGTTTGCCTGCGGCGGTTGGCGGCTCACCAGGTCCTCGGTACTCGACCCCTACCTTCCCACCTTCCCTTCTCGGGACTCAGGCGGCGCCCCAGGCTGTACCGCGAGCGTACCCGAGTACCTCAAGGCTTGCCGTGCCTGACTTTTTCCATTACTCGCGATTCGTAAAGCATGAGTCGTCTACTCGGCCACTGACGGCTTTTTTTTAATCTCTACGACACATGCGACTACTCGTGCTCATCATGCCTGTACTCGGCCTCGTTTGATTACACACAATGCCTCACCGTCTGCATGCAGAGAGGGAGCGAGGCCCTAGCGTTGAGACGGCGCACCGCCACACCATGTAGCCGCCACAAGCAGGCGGCTTTGCGTTTGTGCTGCTGATGGCAAAGTTGCCCATTTTCGGTGGGGGAAAGGGGGCGTGTTCTGTACCAAAGATGCCTCCAAGCCCAAGTTCCCCACCAACATTTTGTGCAGACAGCGTCGGCACTGTACTGTACAGTACCTGCTTGGGGCCCAAGTACTAAGAGGTACCTTATTATTAGTATCAACAGAGGTCCAGGTAGGTACTCGGCATGTACAGCTCTGCATTCGACCCCCTGAGGAGACCAGGTTCAGGGCTCGGGACATCTTGTGCATAGGACAGAGGTTGCTGCCATCGAACTACTGCCTTGGGCACAGTACGTTCCGGTGGTTTGAGAAGCAGCCGGGCGAACCATGCCAGCGAGCCATGGCAAACTGCTCGGTCAGGGATGGAGGCAACAAACCCAAACCCATGCGCCACGCCAGCTTGGGACGAGCGACAGAAAGGGGGAGGGGGTGGAAGCAAGGGGCGTAAACCATGAATGTATCGAGTACACACGTGCCAAGAACGGGGCTCCCCATGCTCTCACTTGCGCATCCTCATCCTCATCAGTACGAGGGACGACAACGGCCGGCCCTTCACCCATCGCAATACCGTTCCTCGTATGTACAGTATGCCGACAACCTCAATGACGATACGATGCGAGGCCGCATATAGTCGATGTTACCTCACTGGTCCTGCACCGACAGTCTGCGGCCAGCTGCTAAGGCAACGACACAGACGCACGGTTGGCTACAGAGACAAGAACCATGGCCAGCGGAAAGTAGCCCTGCAGGGCATGACCTCATCGACGGTGGTGATGGCCCGCGGATCTTCGCCGACCGAGCCTCGGGGCTGTGACGACGCCCATTCGCGCGCCATCTAATAGTGCCTTTGGCCCTTCAGCGCCTCTTTTTGGCACCTGTGTACCATCACTGCCAAGTGCCCGTGCTGTAGAAGGCTGCTGTTGGCGGGAAAGAAACAGTAGGTAGGTGGTGGTGGTGGTGGTGGTGATGGTGGTGGTGATGGTGGTGGTGCGTCGTATGTCAGTAGGTATTGCATGCTCGGGCTGCTCGCAGATAACGGAGTGCCTGCTAGCCCAGGCATGGTTAGCCTTGTGATACGATGCGTGGAAGAATGTGCGAAGCATGCACCTACGGACCTTGTGTGCCGCGCCAATAATAAGGTTTATTAATTGGCGTCTGTCCGTGTTGGATATGGCAATGGCAAAACGGCAAGCAAGGCATTGCAGGTGTATTGTGCGGTATTTGCGGTGGTTGGGTGGGATCGCGTTCGAAACCTTGGACGTCCAAACCATGACGACGGCCTTGATCAGCTGATGTTCTGCCCTGGCCCAGACTCTGTCCTCCACCTCTGGTAAGACGTCCGGCACGCAACTGCGAGTCGAGGTTTGCCGCGCCCGAGCGAGCGAGCTAGGGGGTCATTTGGGGCTTGGCGAAATCGATGAGAGAGGTCGGCCAACTGACTTCGACGCCGGCCGCCCGTAGCCGTATGCACTTGTCACCAAAGGCAAGGTAGGTAGGTAGGTAGGTACAAGGGCAGGCCGAGTAATGTCGTCGCCGACTCTTGACAGAAAGGTGTGTCGGTAACGCATGCGCCTAGGGCCGGTACCTAACTGGGCTGCAAGATGCCTCTGGCATGCAAGTAGACGGAGGAGAGGAAGGGGTATCCAAGCCTGTATGTACCTCTGGTATGCATCGTCGACTCGTAAGCGTTCCGAGGCCATGATGTGCAGCATCCACGAGTCAAGGCTCCCGCGACGCATTGCCAGCTGCCAAGTCTTTCGTCGGTCCTTTTCCCTGCGCGTTAGTCAAGGGAAAAGCCGTCGGGTGCTTAAGCGTTGCTGGAGCACGTTCCCAGCCATTACCCGGGATACCTTTTGTAATTAGACCAGGGTACTGGGGGGGACGAGATCCATTTTTCTTTGAGTATTAATTAATACCTACTATTTGCCCCGGAGCAAATCTCTATTCGGCCCGGATTCTCTAGAAATCCTCTTTTTTAATTGGATGATATATATCTTAGTCATCATTGCGATATCTTAAGTATCTTCAAGTCTCGTCTTGTACGTCGCGCTCACCTCGCGCGGGGGATAAACCCCCACAGTAGGGCCCCTCCCTAAGGGGGACCCCTCGTCTACTGGCTCGGGCGCTCGAGTACGCTTTTCCGAAGTTAGAGCTCTCTACAATTTTCCAGGAATTTTCTATTAAGAGATAGCCAATATAAAGTCCTAGCTAGTAACATCTAGGTACTTTCACTTTAGCGGGTTGGGCCGAATAGATATTTGCTCCGGGGTAAATAGTAATAGTACTCTTTTCTTTATGACGACTCTCCTTGCGATTGCACTACGGCGCCTTTTGGCATGGCCCATGCAGAGCGTACTATAGTTCTAGTCGTCTACACGCACTGTGTATTGCTTCCAGGTTGTTGCTCGTACAGGTCTCTGTACATCCATCATGTACATGCCAAAGTAGGGCATCAACATCGCATGCCACTTGCCGTATGCTTTTGCCGGCGTGCCGCGCTCTTCTCGCAGCGTCTGTTCTTGGAGGGGAGCGATGCAGTAGGTCGAGAGGCAGGTGCCTGAAACGCACGCGTGGCGTGCTACGCGCGTCGGCACCTTGAAGATTGTCGTCGCCTCCCAGGCCGTCGTTCGAGCCCACAAGGCAGATCGGTGGACCGTCCAGTCCTGCTCCCCATGGAAGGGACCGGCGGCCCCCCATCAACCCCTCTAAATAGCCTGCTGTTCCAGTGCGGAAATGGGGACGCCAAAAGCTTCGGCGAGTGATCCAGAAGTTTTTTGCGGTCCCCAAACGGCGGGGTCCTTGCCGCGACGAGACGCAGATTTGGAGAAATTCGGAGGCAGGCCGCCATCTCGTGTCCACCACCGACGGACAAGCACATGCAGTATCTCCGGCC